CCCTAGCTGCTGATTGAATTCAAGCTGCTTCTGGAGCTCTTTTCTGGGCCTCGAGATCTTTGACTCGCTGTTCGAACTCAGGATCGTCGTTATGTCTTCCCTGCAGATGGAATAAGCATTTCAATGCCCGTACTATCTCGTTGAGATCAGCTGAATCAATCCCACACGTGTGGAGCAGACAGTGATCCTCACCTCCTCGAACCCTTCCGACTGACAGTGCCGTAACCATTATCGTCTTCGTCTCTTTCTTGATCGCTATTCGCACTGATATCGCTTGACGTTCGTTTATGATGATGGACTCGAAGCGTGTTCGACGGACTCGATCCAGGATCGCCGTATATTTTCGATACGATTTGATCCCTCTCCTCGTGCAGTCTGCAGATTGAAAATCGGTTTTTCTTCGGAGACTCCAATAAGGATTGGTGGGTAATTGCCTCGAGCGATGCCGGTTTTATGTCTTAGAGTGAAAAACATCTCACCGTTGATAGTCCGTTCTGAGCTCTTCCAGCTCCTTGACCAGGAGTCTCTTTTCGCTTGCGAACTTGTTCTCGATCGTGGCCGAATTGAGCATCGGATCAGAGACCAGGGCGGCAACGAAAGATTCTTTGGCCGCGGACGATTCTTTCGTGATTAATTTCAGCGACTGGATCTCGCTCTCCATTGCCTGAGAAAAACAGCAAGACGCTCGGGATGATACTCTGGGACATATGGGTTTCGTTATGGAGCAAAAGCTCAGGTCTGCAGAGCGCCAACTAGAGTTCGGAAGCCCGAGAACGCCCAACTCTCACCGGAAAACTCACCTGAATTTTGTCGTTCGCGTCCATTTCCCCTTTCCTCGACCCTTCTAAAGCTTCGTTAAGTGCATTGATTCGCTCCTCGTACTCCTTATTCCTGTCGTTGGCTACTCTAAGCAGCTCCTCGAGTGTTCGAACCTTCTCTTTCATCTGAGTTTCGATGACCATGACTTTGTTCTGGGCTTCGTTCCTGGCTCTCGTGAGATCTATCATTTCTTGTTTTTGGCTTATAATCTTGTTCTCGAGTCCTTTGTACTGCGTTTTCCAGTGTTCTGCCTTCTTTTCTTCTTCCTTCATGCGTTTCCGGAGTTTCTTGGCCAAAAACCTCCGGACTGCCGACTGACACAAAATAATCTTGCGCATAGTTCTGGCATAGCGTCTCCGTTCGAGGAAGCCCCGCGCGAATTTCTGAATGACGACGGCGGCTTTGTTTTGCCGCAATGCCAGATAGCGCTGCCGAGCCAAGTATCCTCGGGCGAAACACTGGAGTCGAAGAGACAGTTGCCTCATCTTTTGGTACTTGCGACGTGCAACGAATCCTCTTACAGCCTTCTGAATTTTGATGGCCGCAGCGGTTTCTCGAAGATGTCTGGCCTTCCGCCGCGCGAGGAGGCCTCTCCCGTATCGTTGAATTCCCCGCAAAGCGTTAATTTTCCGCAAGTATCGCCTGCGGTACACGAATCCCTTGACGACCTTCTGGATGGTTATGGCAGCTCGGTTGAGTTTGTCGCCTCGGAGCTTCTCCATGTAGGCGACTTGGCCCGCTCGGAAGAATATTTTCGTTTTTCCGAATTGGAATTTGTCCGGATCCTTCAGCAGGAGATCGAGTATATAGGCACAGTTCTGTTTCTGGTCATCTTTTTTCAGCATCTTCGATGAGGCGAGCATTCGGTACCTAGACGGAGAGACAAAATACGTAGGGAAGAGGGAATTTTCGCGCTGTGCAAGCCTGCTTCAGGACTTAGGAGATAAAATGCTCGGGTACCTTTGCATAAACTCGGCATAGGTCCATCTTGAAGGGAATCCTGCCGCACTGATGCGAACCGTCTCAAGAACTCCGCAAGCTCTCAATTGCTGAGTTGCTCGATGAGGATTGAAGACGAACGCGGCCTTGTCATCGTTCGGCTTGATGCACCGCACGTAGTGGGGTGTGGTTGCGTTGAGAGTTTCCATCAGCAGATTCAGCGATTGCCGGAATTGCGAACCGACCGTCATTTTGTTCTGCTTTTGGCTCCCTGGAAGAAGATTTCGGTTTTGATTTGCGCCGATGTCCCGCTGTACCTCATCGTCTCCTCGCGGATACTCTGACAGTCCGACCCGCTTTTCAAATGGGGTAATCTGCGTAATCTTGGGGTCGTCGATGACGTATTCCGTCACGAGGAAGAGGGGCGGAACGCATTGACACATCCTGTTCGAAACTCATCAGGCCTTAGGTTTCCCCCGCGGCAAGAATATAAAATTCCTGTCACTAGGAGGGGTTGGCTTTTCATATCTCAAATCTTCCTAGAATCTCAGAATTTTTCAGCCCTTATCTAGTCTGAGCTCTCCACCTCTGGACGGAGTCTCATCTTCGTCAGACAAGAGAACTTTTGACCTGACGCAAATACCGAACTACGTCGATGAGGGGCACAAACTGTTTATTCTTCCATCTGTAGTTGCCTTCTCGCGGGAGGTCAGCACAAGACTCCTGTCACGATGATTTGTTTTCGTGTTTGTGTGGCTGAACCCGAGAAGATTCCATTATGAAAGAGAAAACCGTTTCCTTCCGTTTCTATGTCACAACGCGGCTTCGTGGTCTGATTTCCCTCTCTGATTCCGGAATATGTCCTTGATGATCCGATGAGTATTAAATAATGACATAGATTCTGATTGTGTGAGGTTGCCTAACAGTTCGGAGCAAGGGAACAATAAAATAAATCTACCAGAAGCCCAACGATGCAATATACAATTTTCGATGCCATCTCTGAGTGAGAATCGAGACGTCGACTCATTGTTAGCTCTTCTGTTTCTCCTGAGCTCTTCTGAGAATGGAAAGTCATGAAGCTTGGTGCAGGCCTGCCAGGATCATAAAGAAACCGGGATGGAGAGTCGATCGGCGCTTGACAAAAATACTTGCAAGCTGCATCAAGACTTCGGTTGAATAAGCATCAATACAGATGGCGGCTTTCGGGACACGAGAATCGAGGGAGGTAATTTCGGCAGCAACCAGTCTAACCTAGAGCTCTGCTCCCGAACGGGGTTCTTCCACAGGAGCTAAAATTATCTGCCATTTGTGCGAAGCCACACTCCGCAGAGTATCCCCAGCAAAGTGATCGAGTGGAGGTTATGATCCGCTGCCGGTGGAGACCCAGCCGCAGTTCAAAGAAACTCATTGATTCATTGTTAGTGCTATAACTCAGTCGAATGAATATGTTGCGGATCGAGCGGACGGAGGCATTTCCTGGACGCTCGCGGTTCCTTGTATCTATCAACAAAAGAAGCGTCTCGCTCCACAGATTCCATCGGAACCGGGCGCGGGGACAGAATTCGCCCTCAGTGGTGGCCGTGGTGGCGACGAGGCTCTTCGGACGCTCGGTCGCTCTTCGCTTTCGTGAACAACTCACCATGACGTTTTGTCTTCGGCCGCTTCAGGAGTCTCGGATCGCTTTTCCCATGAAGTCGCACTTCCGAACATGGACAGGCGAGATATGGCGATTTTTCACGCCAGAACCATCTTACGATTTCGATCAACGAAAAGGGGAACAATAACTGGAGACGGCACGAGTTGGAACCGCAAAAAATCTACGCTGCATCTGGGGCCGCAAACCGGTACCGTTGAAAGCATCACCCGCGACATCACCCAGGGAAAGGCAGTGTCTGCTGATCTGGTGGTAAGGCCAATTAAAGAAAACTGCCTGGCTGACCACCTGAACTTTCCCTGGAGTTCCTTCTTCTCACCCTCGGACGCCATCGCTATTCTGAACTCTCAATGAATATTCGATACAACGTGCCGCAGCTTGGTTTCATTCAGAGTCTCCATTTAAATTCGGAGGATTAGAGAATAAAAACCGCGATTGATAAAGTCGAAATTAGCGAAAGAGCGAATGACCGGCCAACCAACCAGCCGGACTTGAGTGTCTTGCAGAAGACTTCTAGTGACACAGATTTGTACGGATTGGGTCACAGCCGCGGCCGGAAGGGGCCAAGCTACGTCTGACCAGCCACATCTTCTGAACGTTGATAATGCCTGAGCTTGCGAGAAATGAGGGACGACCGCTACTGGTGACGGCGCGGATTGTTTCGAAAAATGTCTCGGATGTTCCGCTCTCTCTTTGTCGGTGATAGCCTCCGGAATTCAAACCTCTGTTCACGCTTCGTCAGAGTTTTTTATCAAGTCCGGAGCTTAAACCTCTGATCTTCCGGAATCGGAGGTGCAATTGAGACGGGTCACGGCAGGAGCCTGATTGTGAATCCTCGGAATGGAAACGAAAACCGTTCGCGAAAGGTCCACGGACTACAGATTGAGCCGCTTCGGATGGTGTAAGAATGTTTCGAGACGAGGTGACGAGTGACCTGGATGAGGGAACGTGACTTTCTGTCCATAAGCCACAAGGGCATCAACCGTGAGACGGCAATCGAGATTATTACGAGAAAACCCGGTTCAGTGATGTAGTAGTCGAGAATTACCCGAAAACTGAACCTGGACCGCGTAAGAGCCAAGCAATGGATGATTGAAGCTCTATTTCCCCTGCTCATGGTATCTCTGTCTGATTTTCTGTCAAGATCTAATCGAAACCTTGAATGCGGTCAAAGTAACGCTCAGCCCACCTTTCGTGGTGTCAAACGACGGACACGTAGACCGCTGTTTGGGTGTTGTCGGTCTTAACATCTACGGAACGTAGCTACCAGAAAAAAAAAAAACGATCGAGAGAGGAATCTGAACAATTGCAAATATTGGTGTGATCCCGCGAGCCGTTCTCATGATGCTTGACGGCGGAAGAAGAGCCCTGTACAGATCCACGAAGATGAAGCATAATCACTCTTCTCATCGAGAGGCAATCATTGGCAACCGAGATAACCCCGATTTTCCATTCTCCGGAAAATTCGGCTCGAGAGATTCACTTTCTGGGTCTACGGTTCTAATATTTATCGTGAGAACTCACCAGTCGATGGATGCTGCGAGGAGGATTTCGGAGCGACTGGCTTCTTGAACAAAGCTGCCGCGAACGGTAACCTAGCTGAAGCCAGCATTTCCAGTTGATCCTCCAAAATGGTGTCCATGTTCTTCTCTTTGAAGCCATGGCAATCGTAATCCACCTCTCCGGCGAAATGGCCCACGATGAACTTCTCCTGGGAGAATTTCGGCTTCTTGAAATGATCCGATTCCTTGCACTGCGTGTAAAGTTTTTGACACCACTGCTCGTCGGAGCCCTTGGGCAAGCGGCACTCCTCATCGAGTAAATCCAAGATCCCGAGTTTGGACTCAATCAAATTTATGCATGGCTGGTTATCATAGAAATCGATGTAGCTCCACGTGATGGCTTCCCGGGCGTACTCCTCTTGCTCCAGCTTGAAGACGTGCTGATTGAATTGTTGCTGAAGTTTTTCGTTCGCGTAATTTATGCAGAACTGCTCGAATGAATTCCGCTGGAATGTCTCGAATCCATATATATCGAGGACCCCGATGAAGTGCTTTCGTTTCTCTCTACCACCGAGCGCCTTGTTGACGGATTCTACAATCCAATCGAAGAGTATTGCGTACATGTGCTTCGCCAGCGCATCCCGAGAGGTTGAAGCTTCCTGTGGTTTCTGATGCTTGGTGACAAGTTCCCGACCGATCTGAACACGGATCACACACAACGCTTGTTTGACTTTTTCTTTCTCGATCTGCAACAGGTCGCAGAAAGCGCCGAAATTCTCCTGATCGAAATCTATCCGGGATCCACCGTCCCCTTTCACAAAACAAATATTCCCCAGATGGAGAACACTGGCGATCACTTTGAACATCGAGGATTGGTCGTCCTTGCTAAACTGTAACGTGCTGAGCGACTCGGTGAACGATTTGAACAATGCGAGATCATCGACATCCCTGATAGTCGGACACTGGCCTTGGTTTATGTAGCGGAAGTCGTTGCAGTTTTTCAGTCTGAGATGCTTCAACTCGGGTATCGCCGAACCTGCGGCACACAGCTGATAGAAAATGTGGTAATTTCGTTCATCGTCAGCTTGGAAAACGACCCGAGATTTTTCCAGGAGATAGGTTCGCATGTGGGCTCCGACGATCATGTGCTTCTCGTTGAAGTCGATCTGAATGTATTTTCCGAACCGGGACGAGTTGTCGTTCCTCGTAGTTTTGGCATTCCCTATGGCTTCCATAATTGGATTTGAGGCTATGACCTTGGCCTCGATTCGAGATTCGGAAGATTCGCCTCCGACGGTGGCGAAAAACCTCATGGCATACTTGGCCGAAACCGTCTTGCCGGCCCCAGATTCTCCGGATACGATGATCGACTGGTTGCGGCCTTCCCGTTCCATTTTCGTGTACGCTTCTTCGGAAATAGCGTAAATGTGCGGATCGAGGTCCCCCATACTGGCGCCCCGATACGCCCATACCGCCGTTTCGTTGTAAATGTCAAGCGACTCATAGGGATTGATGGCAACCAACACAATTCCACAGTAGGTATAGATAATGTTCTTATCGCAGAACCGGACTTGTAAATTGTGGAGCACAGCTGGTTCATGAAGGTACGACAACGCAGTGAGATCATTGCTGCCCACAAGGATGTCAGGATTTCGAATAAACGGTAGATCTTCCACATCTTTGATCGGAAGTAGCTGCGTCGTTCCGTCCTCGAACTCGAGCTCGAGCCGGTTTTCATCCCAGTCGCTTGTCAGCTGGGCTGATCTCCAGATGAGCTCTCTGTCGGCTGTCCATACTCGGCAGCCCTTCGTGTAGAGCTCTTTCGATGTCATTTTGGTTCATACCATCTGAGCGGGTTGAGGGAAATGGTACCTGACAGGGGTGAGGAGCTGGAGTCTCGAAAGGGAAAACAGAACTCCAGATCGGAGTTTGGCGCTTTGAGGTGTTCCTTTGCCGCCACTGCTCTTGACTTCTGGTGTGGAGAGCGCCACTCACAATTCACTGGCCACGGATCGCGGTGCCTTCTCTCTTTTACCTTCGAGACACTCGCACAGCACATTTATCTGACGTCACTCGAAATAGAGGCGGGCGCGCTGTTCCACAACAAAAATCAATGCGATGACGAAGTTCGCCATGATTTTGTGATGAAGAAGCACGTTGCTTCCATGAACGAGAACGATTGTGGGGCCGGCTCTACACGTACAGCTGGCCCTGTGATTCATCCCACACACTCTGACACATTCGGTCGTGGTGGTACTGCTGCTGGTGGCGGTGATGGTAACTGGTAACCTTTGCTCCCCGTTGTGTTTTGTACCGGTGGCGCCATCTGACGCGGCTGATCGAAAAGCGTGAGGAGCCGCCAACTTCGATCGGAGGGGAATTCCATGGGGCGGTGAACATGATTTCCTCTCGAACGGCGCTGTACGGGGTGACGAGCTGCCGCCCGAACACTTCGGAGGGATATTTTCGACCCTCTCGAATCGACGGCTGAAATCGAAAATTGCAAAGACCCCCGGAAAGTGGATAGCAATCTCGAATTTTCACACGATTCGAATGATTAGGATCAGGAGTTGGGAGGACCGGACTTCTTGTTTGGGGTCTTCTACGCGTCTTTTCCTGGCGCCCTCCTGTTCGCGGATTATGAAGAATTCCACCGCTGCGGTGTTTCCTAATATTGCGTATCGGAGTCGAGGACATTCGAATAAACGACGCGACACGCCGACGTTCTCGTGCGTCGGCGTGAGGGGCTGCCGAATTCCCGCCGATTTTATAGTTACCTCTCCTGATCTCATCGAGTCCGGCAGATCGCGAGCGCGTTATGTATTACTCAGGGTCAGGGCACTTTGAGGAACTCGCACCATTTCACCGCGCCATCTAACGCCGTGCGCAAGTCCCTCGCCGGAACCGCGTAACCTCGGGATATGTCTAGAATCATTCCGAGTATCTGTCGATGGGTTCGGCAGCTGAAAAGCTTCTGGACCTAGGCCAGTGGCGTAGCTAGGCTGGATGGCATCCGGGGCGAAACTCGTCCGTTCCCGGCGTTTCATTCCCGATCGGCGCTCCTCGTTAGAAACTTCAACGTCGGGGAGCGCCGTTTAGGGGACGCCGAGCGCGGACCGCTCCTCGGCACCCTCCCCGAGCTGCGCCACGACCAAGGCTCAGACATATCTTCCCCTCTGCTATAAATCGAAGCAATCATGGCAGCTGCAAGGTTTATGTATATAAACATATATTATCCCCTAAAGATCAGAAAATCTGTTCAATCATGCGTCGAGAATTTTCTTCCTCGCGGCTTCTTCCTGCTCCTTTCTCCGAGCGGCAGCCTTCTTCTTGATTGTCTCAAGAGTGTCTAAGCCACCCTCTTCGTGCATACGGGGGCCGCGGATGTTCTCCCAGTTATCGGTGTCAAGATTTTTTATCTCCTCATAAACTGCCTCTATGGTTGTTTCGGACGGATCTCTCTTCTGCAAACCTGTGAAGAATTCACGGGAGTCAAATCTCGCTACAAGGCTCTCGAGCCGTCACACTCGGTTCTATTCCCCGTGATGGATTACCAATGGAAGACGAAATGAATCGATGTATGGGTCAATCGCGCCCGAAAGGGCGCGGAAGGGATAGGCGCGGCGCTTGCCACGACGTCCGACTCACCTGCTGCTTCTAGCTCGCGAGGGTCCAACGAGGTACTCTTCCGGAACTCGTATCTCAGCTCTGCGAATTCTTTCAGGAAGAAGGAGCCTCCGATTACGAATGCTATGAACGGCAGACCCGTTTTCGCGAAGCGCGGAATCGAATCGAAAGCGCGTTTGGCTCGAGCCAAGAGTTCCATTGCCCTCGACGTGAACTCCGGAGCCTCTCGCCAACAAACAGCCTCAAGATGAGAACACATTCGTCATAGGACCAATTGATGAGCGGAAGTCATTGGAATCGCCGAACTGGAACCCGGAGTTCCAGGTGATTCCAAAGTCGTGTTCTCGATACGGTCTTCTCCGTCGCTTTAGTAATCGACGGAATACTATCAGCGTGCGGTGAACATTCGTCTGCCGCAACTCATGAGCGGAGAAGTAGTATCTGGTTTCCTTCCTCGAGTTTCCGACAATCGCTACGGCAAACGGTAGTCTCCCAAAGGTGAAGCGTTTCCACATCTGTGAGGAACACCATCTCAACTTTTGTTTCCGAAAAATTCTCGATACAGCCGGCGTATCGCGCACAGCGCGAATCACAGTAGCAGATCGTCGCTCCGGCCCATCAAAAACAAAAACTGAAAGCTCGCGAGAAATTTGGAAAATCTAAAAGGGGACTTCTACAGGTTTGAGTCGGGTGCTTCAACGACTCCAGAGCATCCGAACGATGAACGCCCTTCGGAAATCGTTGCTCTCGCTCCTGGAGGTGAGTTGGTTCCGAAAGCATCGGAATTCGGGACTCGAATTTCGTGTGGTGGACTCAGACGTGACTCCATTGTCTTCTCCAGAGTTCTAGGAACACTTTCCAATTGCCCTTGCCGATTCCTGCTCTGAACTTCGCAGCGCTTGCCGCGAATCCTGACTCACGGAGTCAACCCAGCGCAAGCTTTCTCGATGACCTGAAAGAAGGGCTTCTCAGGGCTGTTCAGACCAACCGCAGGAGTGTCCAGCGCCGGCAATGGCGCCGCATCGGGATGCCCCAATTCAATGTGAGTATCCATGGGAGCATGTGAGACAATCATGCAGCGCCTCGATGTTTTACAGTAGTTCTCCGTTATCCTCGACCACACTTGACTGCTAACGGAGCGCCGTGCCTTTCTTCCAGTCTAAACCTCGCAGGGATCTAAAAGTTTGCATCGCGTGCGGGAACCTTCACGAAGCGCACACCCTTTGTGGCCACTGTTATGCGTCAGTCAGAGCCGAAACCGAAGTCGTCAAAGAAGCGATGTCGAAAACCTATGGTCACCTCAAACCCATTGAGCACGAAGTTGTCGTAGTCTACGAGGGCGAAGCGAAGCCGAAGGATCGACCGGAAAAAATTATTGAGATCCCAAAGAAACGACCCGATTTTTTCGCCAAGAACCTTCTTGAGAAAGAAAATGTGGCCTGAATTGGAACGCGCTACCTTATCCATCCCCGAGAGGGGATGGCGACATCATGTTAGTTGAGAATGAACAGAAGTTTTTTTCTCTACAAGACGTGTCGTATTTCTGCTACTGAGTGAGCGTGACAGGAGAACGCTCGATGCAGATTGGTCCCTCGCAAGGGATCGTCCCCGAAATGTTTAGGTAAATCTATTTTTCATCGAGTGCCACCTCCTTGCACTTCTCGGAATTCGGATGATCGTTTTCACCACGTGATGACAGCGGTGCGAGCCAGTCCCGTCTCGCCGAGAATGCACGATATCTCGAATCACGGACGGGCAGGCAGACTCCCTCAGCTGTTTCGATTTCAGAAATGAAAGAAGAAATCTTCGAGCATCGTTCATTTAGGTTTATTCCGTCATTCCTCACAGATTATGATCAGGACCGACTCCATTTCAATCCACGGCCCTCTGATATTGGCAAAATCGGAGTTCAGCGAACGAATAGGGCTAACTTGCGACGTGGATTTCTATCGAAAATTCCTCGGTAGAAGCACTCATCTGCTGGGCAGAACTATTGTATTCCACCGAAACAATCAATGGCACCGCGTCGTTGTTGGCGAATGTAGGAGGACGGATCTAGTCTGGAAACATCGCTCACGGGGAAAAGCCGGAGCACGCTTCTCTGGAACTTTGGGAGGAAGGAGTCGTGACGACTCTCGAATTTTCCAGATTCGATATGATGCCAATACTCGGCCCGATATTCGTAGTCAAAAGTGTATACATAGTAAAGGGGATGGCGAATCTGCACAGCAATCGACCATCGGCGTAAGTCCTGGTCTTGGATTTGGCATTAGACGAAACACGGCACCAAGGGAAATCCTCCTCAGGAGCAATACTGCGACACGGAAAAAAGAGAGACGCGCACCACTATCATAGCACTTAGTCCAATAGCCTGCTTGCAGGTGCGAGAGATCGATGCGGAGTCCGGATTACTTCCCGTCGCCTCACTCACGGATGGTCTCGCTTTTTGTTCTGGAATCTGTTCGCTAGCAAGAACAGTTTAGGTATCTATTTTGAAAGAACTCATGACCATCCGCTGTTGTTCCATCTGCTGCTGTTGTTCCGTGGCTCGCTTAGTATAAACATTGATTGCTTTCTTCCGCCGAATCTACAGTTCCTCTATTCCTACTCTTTTGGACGTACCAGGCGTATCAGCGAGGAATGCGCAGATCGATCCGCTGAAGTCGTTTTGTGAATTTTTCTTTTGAGAGCTGATCGTGAGAAAGAGCTGATGAATCCGAAGGACTCAGGTATTGAATTCGACGGATCTTCACGGAGGAGCATTCTGTGTCGCCTATGGGAATTATGCGGGGAGCGGAGTCGTTCCGAATCGAATAAGCGTCACTGCCTCAGCAGTTTGCGCGGGATTTCTAGGGTCAACTATACACAATCTCAGATTAGGTCTATGTTCAATAATCAAATATAATAACTCGAATACTTTATATTATCGAGGAGGCATAGCTTGCACGCTTTATGGATATCTGCTCTCATCGAGTTCCGGACAGTGAATTGGTCGTTTCTGTGTTGAACGAGAGCCAAGACCCTGATTGCATATTTATTCGAGTGAAATATTCGCAGATCCTCAGTGAGATTTTTCTAGCGGTTCCGCTCGCCCCTATCACTGTGTACCTGGGTCTCGGGATTCGGCATTAATGGATACCATCTGAGACATGCGCAGGGGAAATAACACGAGAGGGATGAGGATCTGCTGGGGAACGATTGCATTTGATGGCGGCCCAGCATCGAAAAGGACCATTTTCACAGCGGAAACTCAGAAGCCCAACTCAATGAGCGACGAGTAGGAAGCCGCCGAGCATCTCTTCTTTCGGTCGTGGCTTTGAAGAGACCGATCATAGTTTTCTATCAGAGTCACTATGCCGCCGAATGCTACCTCATCAGCTGCTACGACTACGACGCATGTTGTTGCAAAGCACATTGAGTTCATGAGATAGCATCGAGCCTCCTTGTTCGCTGAAACCGCACACGTGCCTCATCTCGAACCCCTCTCGAGTCTCGACCGGATTGCTTGCTGAGCTGCGAATTGGTAACATAAAATTTCACTCGGGAGCTGTAATTTCGTCCCGTGGAGAAGAAGCTCGATTTCCCTCGCCTTGCCTACTCCACACAAATCCTGAAGGGTCAGCACTACATTTCTCCGCAATCGTCGAGATTTCTCGAATTCCTCATTTCGTATGTCGGCACGGTGGTTGTTCGCATCGGAGGTCGAGCTCCATGAAAGTTCAACGGGTACTTCGATAAATGCAAGGTTCACATACGGCACGAAACCTCACCATACTTGTTTCGATGGAAGTATCTTTGTTCGGGGATTTCGGATTTCTTCGGGGATTTGCTCGGGACTATGAGATATATTATGAATCACCGTTTCGTCTAGAAACGACGGCAAAACATGTTATTAACACAGTTGGTTTGGAAAAGAACAGCTTATCCTATTCTACTACGTAGGCGTATCATTGGGACCTCCCGGCTCGCCTGTACCTCGCAGTCGGAGGCGAGCGAAGTCCTCAAAGATGAGATCGTCCTCGGGATCTTCGAGTTGGATGAGGTCGTCTGTTGGCATCTGTAAGGCGGAGATTCTCGTTAATTGGACATTCCCCCGGTTTTCGAAATCGTCGGAAGCGGAAACCCTCGCCGTTTGAAAATCATTCTTCCTCAAGTTTGTTCTGATTTTTCTGCCAAACGATCCGTCTGGAAGAGGTCTCATGCGCGATCAAACGCCCATGAACGGGTCTTGTCTCTCGTTCGCGATAGATGAGTACAAACGAATGTACAGATCATGAAGTTGCCGAGCAAGGGCGAAAGAACGGTAAGGAAATCGGATCAATCTGAGAGCTCGGTCGTCAATTGTCGTAATTGTGACAAGTGCTCGCACCATCGAGTCTCGGCGACAAGGAATTGCTCGGAGATTCGTGTCCACGGGAGCCTCGTATGTTTTCCTCTCGGGCGGGAATCATCGTGATTTATGAATCAGCGCCCGACACCTCTCAGCTCCGGCCACGCTTTCGTCATGCTTGAACGTTGAGGAGAGAACTGCATCACATTGTTGTTCCAGTAGAAATATGCGAATAGTGCCCAGGAAGTTCGCAAAGAAAAGCACGCGGAACCCGGCCGACCCGATAAAGTCGAACTTGATCCTGGATGATACGATCGAAGCGTCTTTCCTTTCCGAGGGACAACTTACTAGAAACGGAAACCCCGGCCCCCCGAGCCATGTCCATTTCACAAGGCCCTGGTTGAGCGCACCGAGACGAAGTTCACCAGTTTATGGTCGACTGGCTCCCATCGAACTCGTTGGCTCACGCACTCGAACTCGTCGGCTCACGCACTCGAACTCGTCGGCTCACGCACCCGTATGATTCGCTCACTGACACTCCCGAAGGACAACAAAGTCTGCTCGGAATAAACGTCAACGACCTTTGCCGAGAGGGACCTGCTTCCCGACTCAGACAGCGATCCGACCCGGTCGTTGATAATACGACTGGCATGGGAATCCATGCAACGAGAGCCGGCCTCTCGAGCCCTCGGACGGGATTCAATCTCACCGGCGGAATGAGAAAAAAACAATTGAATTTCGAATAAGCTCGAATCCGTCGGGGCGCGCTCCACTCCGCTTGAAAGTTTTCGAATAAAAACAGATACAATGTACGGACGAGGACCCGAGGATCGGGTGGAGAACCTGACGCAGCATTAGCGTCAGGTCGGGCTTAGAACCCAATCTGAACGATCCCTAGAGTCTTCAATCGTCTGCATTGCGATGGCTAGCTTGATCGATGATAATCACTGACTGGAAAATCTTCGGAACCTAAAGAATTCCGTCTCGGAGGCACGAACTTGGATGCGATCCACGAAAAGCGATTCGCGCAAGAGAGAGGCTTCTCTAGATAACGGTGCGCAAGTCGTCACCGACCAAGTATAAGCGAGCTTGTGTATTCCTGCCTGTGGTAGGTCAAGGACTTCCTGATCTAAACTGTGAGAAATCCGATATATCGGCCCCGTGGTTTCCGAGAAATCCGCCGAAGCGGACCGTAAGCAGCGCTTTCTGAGTGAAGATTCAGCCCGAGGTGCATCGAGGACTCGGCTCGCCCCTAAAATAATAGTCGAGGCCATCACTCCGAATCGGAAGGGAATGAGCTCTTGAGAGTGTGAATTCGAGGTCGAGGTCCTTTCATGCTCGAATCCCCGAGTGAACTCGCTAACCCTCTCAAGAGTCTCTCAACGGCTTACGTCCTCTCGCTCCGAGTTGGCTTAGCGGTTGACTGAGTGAGCCCGGTCCCGCGGCTATCTCCCACAACCACTACTTGGCGTTTGAATTATTCCTTCTCAACAACGCAACGAATCTTCCTGCCTATGCTCGCAAGCAGCCGGAGTCACTGCAGGGTTGCGTCTGTATTGGCTCAGCCGAGCTTAGGTCCTGACGCGCAATTCCGGACGCATCCGTCGCAACAGACGGTGGAATTCGCCTTGAGCATGACGTCGTCCAGGGTTTTGCATCGCAGTCCGGTCGTAATTAAAATGATCCAACTCTCCCAACCTCTACATGTCGTCAAGCAGTCGGGCGACTGACCGCGCGCGGAGGCGCAGCTCTACGGTCCCCAAGGAAATTGACATGCCACCAGCGGCAAAACACCATGTGATCTTTACAGAAACAGTTTGAAACTCACAGACAGGAAATCGTCGAAACATAGCATGACCTTCTATGGCTGAAACCGACCGCACAGTCATGGTACTAACCTCTGAGCCAGATTCGCACGTAGTGCAATTTTTCTTATTCAGATCTGGATCCGCCACATCCGTTGCATTGGGTGTGGTGACCTCCTCTTCGGGCTTCGGGTGCATCAAAACGAAGGGTAATTCCGCGATGAGGTCGCCATTCAGAGCTCCGAGACACAGTTTCACCTTAACCTGAAATCAATCATTCGAGCCTAAAAATCAAAACTCCGAGACGCTCCGGTTCTCCGATCGCCTTTGAAGCGAGTGAGCGAGCAGCATAAGCTGAAAGGTCCCTTCATCCTAGGCAATCGGCAATCGTACCTACATATACACATATGTGTATATATCGGCTGAATCAATAACAGCATTATCGTGTGGGGATCAGAGCCACTCTGTTGCATCCATATTCGATCTGAGTTGGCACGAGACCAAGTCTCTGATTCTCGCTGTCATTCACACACGCCGCGTCGGTAGATAAACGAGGTGATTACCGCCGGTCTAGTTTTTGAATTGCTCCAGCAATCAGCATCCATCCAGAGCCCACTTGGAAGACAAGCGAGTTCCGGTGTGCGTTCGTGAATAAAACTACAACGAGCGACCTGACGGGAGCTGCGTATGACAGATTTCTGTGGCTGCGGGATCGGCATTTATCCACAAACAATTATCACCGTTCCGAGTGGAACAGCTGCAAGTTCGGAAATTAAGAGCCCGTTTGTTCCGGCAGCATGGCGCTCACAACGCCAATCGTCCCGCACCACCTGAGAGCTTTTTCAGTTTACTTTTTGTCGCTCGATTTCGCGCTGCAAGCGTGCACAGTCCACCGCAAACTGTTGCTCCCGGCTCGCTCTCCTCGGTCAGTGTGCGAGAAAGGTCAATGAATCGCCGGTCGTACCCACCTTATATTGGACGATAATTCCAAGATTTTCTCGCTGCTGTTGATCACTGATTATGGTAGAAGATGCCAAATTAGTGTCCTCGTGCTTGAGCTGCCCATCCAAAGCCAGGCCACGCTTGTCCTTGTTTTGGGCCAACAGAGGTTTGAGGTAGAACACTTTCGAGAGGGTAAAACCGGGAGCGATCGGACAACCTTCATCGGAATCCACTTGCGCGACGGTGCACTTGTATTGAGCCGAAGAGAAGAGACAAATATCGGCGATCTGACGCACGCTCACTTTTACTCGTTTGACGCTCCGATTCGAATTGTTGGCAATGTGGACGTTCACGGCGATCTCTTCGCCGTGATGGTAGAGCTCTTTGTCGAGCGATGCCTCAAGGTGAAGTTTATTAGGTGACATCACGAATTCTTTCGACACTTCGGTCGACGGCTGATCACCTTGAAGCGAAGGCGCGTACATCACCTTGCGGATTGCCAAGCGCACGCAGTTCCTCTTGTGCGGTTTCTCATCCGGCGAGTCGGCGACAAATCCCTTGAGCTCATAGTCAACACCGCACGGTTTGCCGGTGTCTCCTTGACTGGGCTGGAGGCTCACGCTCGCCGGACAATGGGGCGGCAGTTCGAAGTAGAAAGGATGCGCATTGGGGCCCAGTTTCTTAATCAGTTTCTCCTGTAGACGCGTGAGCTTTCTTTTCGGTTCTCTGTTCACCGGTGGATAGATTTGCTCACATGCCAGATAGAGATCTTTCCGAAACGTCAAACCTAGAACATCTAGATCTTCACGGCCGTAGCGGAACGCTGCCAATACAGTGCCATATACCTTACGATCCTTGACGTATTCCGGGTCCACGAGAATGACACCGTCGATGGGGTCAACGTGTGTCAGATGATCGACGAAATCTCGTTTCCCCAAGTAGACCGTGACTTTTCCATTGGGACAGGTCTTTTTGAATACCCGCGTGCCAGGTCGGTTGGCCTTCGTCCCAACCTCGGCTCCGCTCATTTTCATCAGATGTCGTTTACTTGCTGTTGTTCTTTGTGTTGTTGTTGCTGCTGCTGCTGCTGTTGTTGTGGTTCGCTGATATTGATTCCTGTCACGGAGTTTGAGTCTCCATACGATTGGCACGTTGAACTCTCGAGTGGTTTAAAGCATTGTTCGAAGGGTTAAAGCACTTCCTCGATGATTCTTCGCTATTTGATCGAATGGCCGACTAGCTGTCAGCCGGCTCGACCCTGGTCGCCGCCGCCGAATCTGTCCGGAGTCGAAGCTCTTTCGGAGCCTCCGAATTTATTCTCTCTGCCGATTCCCGCAGTGAGCAAGCCAATAACCGCACATCTATACACAGCACAAGTCGATCGGGGAGCACAGACGATCGGCTACATATTCTGTAGGCTCGCTGCGGTATCGCCTGCAGTCGGTGCAGTATGTCCGAGTGAGTGAGAGCCTTGATCCGATCCGTCAAGCAGCCAGAGAATTCACCAATTAGTGCTTGACTGGCTCACTCCCAGCCTGGTTCAGACTTCCCTGATCAGTCCATCTGACAGATAATGAGACGGTCTTCTCTTGAGCGACTAGCTAGTCGGTCAACCAGTTTCCCGATCAACACGGTATCCGCCTCGGTGACGTCTAGAGCAACAGTGGGAATCCTCAGCGAGCACCCAGCTGGCCGGTCGGTTGGCTAGTCGCTCGGTCGGTCGCTCGCTCGCGTAACCGACCAGCTCATGAACAGACGAAACAAGCACTCGCACTTCACCGGAAAAAGCAAAGAATGTCGACAACGACGACGAAGACAGCAACTTGGAGCCTGCTGCTATTGCAGAGGAGCTCCGAGTGCTTTCGACGACGACGGTAGCGGTGATGGTGATGATAATGGTGGTGGTGGTGAGTAGAAGCGAGCGAGCGCCCGCTGTCACTGGTCTGCTCGAGGAGGAAAGGGTAGCCACCACCATCGTGCGTGAGAGGGATCCACGCAGTTGTTTTGGATTGTCACATCTAGTATTTCCAGATTAGGTGCATTTTTCTCAAATTAGCGTCACAATCGACGAATCTTTCTGTCAGCCGCCGTCATCGCTCGGCTAAAGGATGCGCTCCGGACTATCATCGGTGACGGGATGTGTCACGAGCCGTTCGACTTATGGGGGAAGCTTGAATTCGAGCGCGGTGTTGCATTTACTGCCGCTGAACTTCCATTCGCTTTTAGTACACGAATCCGTCGGGAGGCGCGGGGCATACGTTTTTCCGTTGGCGGCAGCACGGTGAGGACGGGAAAGTCGGCGCGTGAATTCGGGGTCGGAGCCGCAGTGCGATGCCACGCCCCTGAGTTTAATACGAGTACCGACTTAATGACTCACCGCATACGTAGGTAACTCCTGATCGAGCACCGTAGGGACGGCATACTTGGACCGCCAAACTCATTCTACCTGAATGAATCAGGACATGCGGCTGAGGACCGGAATTCGCTCGGGTGACAGAAGTGAAGGCTTCCCTATGCAACTTCAATCAACCCTCGGCGCTACACGATGGTTGAGGATTTCTCTGGCTCTATGGTCTCTGTCCCGTGCCCATTTCGACTTCAGGAGGGAAAACATTCTCTCCAAAGAAACTCTTCTCAGCGGGTCTGAGATCTGTTCATAATATTTTTTAGAGAATTCCTAGCTTTTTTCTTTGAACGCCAAATCCGTCTTTTGGCGGATGAAGTGGGATGACAGAACTGTGGGGAGTTGCTCGGATCGGGGTTTCAGCCCTTCTCCTTCTCCAAAAGTGATGAAAGCGCGAGCTGAGAAGCCACCCACTATACGGTATTTCTCGACGCAAGTCTCTCCGTATTCCGGGAACTCACAGCTTCCGCCACGCCCACGAGGTTTCCCAGATGGGAAATTCCTCAACCGGGGGTCATTTCATCCATTGGCTTTTCCTTGCGGTCATCCTGATATGTACCGCCCGACGGCGCGCGCCATGGGGGAATAGATAGGAGCGAGCGAGGGCCGCTGTCTGCTGCCGTGTCGCTGGTCTGCTCAAGGAGGAAAGGGTAGCCGCCGCGAGAAGGATCCACGCAGTTGTTTGGGATTTGCACATCGTTGATTTCGAGATTAGGTGCGGCTCAGGCGAACTAGTTCTCCTTGTTGACGAATAACTGAGTCACAGGCTGTCATTGCTCAAAAGGGAGGCGCGCTCCGGACGATCATCGGTGACGTGAACTTCCCTCAAGCCGCTCCGGCTTCGGACGAACGCTTGAATTTGAGCGCGGTCGTGCATTCGCTCCGGCTGAACTTCCACTCGCTTTTAGTACACGTATCCGTCAAGCGGTGCGTCCGTGTCTCCGGTGGTGGCACTGCTGTGGATAGGAGTGAGCGGATCCGAGGCACCGGTGTTCGACTCGGCCACCACGAGTTCCAGCGGCGTTCGAAGTTACCACAATGTCGACGATAAACTTACTAGCCCATCAAAAAGAACTCAAAGAAGCCTGGGAAGAGGTTCTCGATCAGAACAGGCCGACTAACTGGTGAGTTACCAGTGGGGTGGAGGATGAAGAGTGGGGTTCGCACTCTCGCTGATCAATAGTCATACCCACTCCCAGTTTATCCTGTTCCTCATTTTCTCGGGGGTAATCCTTCCGTATGTGCGGGAATCGGTGGGGTTGAGAAGATCCGACACCGAGCAAGGATTCGCCAGCCAATTACATCTCTGGAGGCAGCACGGTCTCGCGAGAGAGCCTATCCTCGCGAGTAGATGCACGTATTCCCGAGTTTCTCGATGAGTATCCGCTGCGGATGTTCATTATTCCGTCTCGGGTCTTAAACTTTTGATCTGTCAGGGCCGCATCTGCCGAGCTTCGCGCTCTGTCAATCGTTCCGAAGGGAGCTCGAAAATAGAACTTTGCTGCGACGCTCTGACCGCGAGTGGACTCGGGTGTTCTGATTTGGAAAATTTCCTGTGGGCAGTGTTTTGCATGTATATTCTTCCCGTTGTGATCGCGGTGGCCACCAAGGCGGCTTGGAATCCGCTCTGGAACATATCCTATTTTGTCCATTGCATATAGTTCGTAAAACATAGAATCCCCTCCGGAAAAGTTGGATTCATTATCCAGGACTTGGAATCTGTATCATTTGTTCCAGGGCACTCTTCGGCTATGAAGGCCAAACCTATAACCTCATGCTCGTGTCGAAAGGCGGTAAGTGTTAGCCTCACCGAGGTTCTTTTACGTAATCTCAAGCGTCGGAAGCCGGAATCCAGGAACGACTGCAGCGGTGGGGGGGGGGGGGGTTTCAGACATAAAGGAGGATGGTGCGGAGTTCAAAGGCGATGATTCGACCCCATTGAGCTCCTCGTGTTCAATGTCGGACGCTTTCGCGCCGTGACGTGCTCTCGGTTCTTTTCATGGAGCGAAACCAGATACGACGGCGACGCTGAGAGACTGATATGGGTCGAAGTGACTACTCATGAATTCCGGTAAACTCACGATGCGATGACATCACAGTGTAGATTCCATGGAAGAAATCGAAGTCAAATATACCAATGACTAATACCTCACAATCAGTCTACGCAGCGGGCTCCCATCAAGGACTTGGTTCACGATGCGAATAGCGCGGCAAGGAAATGAATTCATATCAAAACCGTCATTGAATATCGAATACGGCCCTGATGTGGTGTTCTAGCGAATACGTGCCGTTGCAGATGGGGGTCTCGAAGAGCTACAAGATGAGTTCCAGAGCGCTGCCATTATGTACGCCTTCTGCACAGTATCGATTCCGCCATCCGGCGTCAAGCGCAATGTTCTGATCAACTGGCAGGTGAGTACCGACCCGCTAGGAGGTCTCAGGAGAATTCCATGTGCTTTCTAGTGGAACGATTTCGATTGTTTCTCTGAGAAGCCCATCCGATCGATAAGCCGATTCATACGTTACCTCGTCATTTGCAGGGAGAGGGAGCGCCCGTGGTCCGCAAGGGATGTTGCGCCAATCACCTGGCGGAGGTCGAGAGGTTTTTCAAGGGACACCAGTTGACCATCAACGCGCGATCAGACGATGAGGTTGAACCACGGGCAATCCTCGAACAGCTAGTTAAATGCTGTGCGGCTGCCTCCATTCGTACGTATTGCTACCCCACATACACGAGAGCGATCAATCTTCGGCATCGAGTTCCGAGATATTCTCGAAGCTCTGGGGTGATGGTTATTAATTTGTCTGATGATGTTGAACTTGTCCTTGAAGAGAGAGCCAGCGACTCCATAGTGGACAATCCCTCGGCGGGCCCCGTTTCGAGCGTCTATCAGCGAGTTCAGCCGCAGAAAGACGTAACTTCCATGAGTGAGCGGGAGAAATTCTGGCAGCAGCAGCAAGAAGAGGAAAAAAGACGAGCGAAGGAGGAAAAGAAGAACATGGAACAGCGACAAAGAAACCTTAAGGATGAAGAATTACGTCGGGAGGTGAGATTTCCATTCTTCTAAATCGATCGTCGGATCGATGGAATGTCGAGCGACCGAATTCACACTCGCGTGGCAACGACGTCTAGACAAGCGGGGTTGCGACTGAACTAGAGACTCGTCGGGATTACAGACGAATGCCGCGAAAGCCCGGGAGGAGAAGTACCGCCAGGACTCGATAGAGAAAACTGCGAATGGCCACAACGGGCGGAAAGCATCTTCAGGATCGGTGAAAAAAATTGACACTTCTATGTGGGAGAAGCAAATAGCTGCCGCGGAGAAAGAGGGGAAGCCCGCCATACCACTGCCGAGCCAGAAGGTCATGCGGAAGAAAAGTGAGTCCGACCGAATGTGTGCTCAGATCTTCGAAGAATCCCCGTCGGCGGTCGTCCTAGAGGAATAATTATTCTTGATTTCAGACATCGGCGGGGTGAGCGCTGTCTTCGAAAACCAGAAGCCGGCGGAACCGACTGCCAGCACAAACAAAAACAATGTACCGGGGAAAATTGTGATCCCCAAGTTCGAGAATAAGCCCGTTGAGAAAACGGTCATCCAAATGCCACAGAAAACTGAGGATAAAGAATACAGCTACACGAAGAACCTGCTCACAGAAAACCGCAGAGAATCCTTGGACACCGGGAACAACCACGAAGAGGAGCAGGATTGGGAAGGTCAGGAATCGGAAGCACCTCCGTCCCGAGGCATCGAAACTTCCGATTCGGAAGTCGATCGCCATTCTTCCTCATCTCCATTTGTTTTTAGCTCACTGGCGTTTTCTCTATTGCAGAGGAACCTCTCGAAGAGCCCCCGACCAAGATACCTGACCCGTTGGTCGATGCCATGGTCGAACAAGGTATTATTCCAATGGTTCCGCAGACGCCCGCGACGAACACGATATCAGCTAGTTCTCAACCCGAACCAGAACCTGAACCTACTGTGCCCTTAGATAAAGGTGAGATGGTCGATTCCGGACGAACCGAGGTGGCCGAACAAACGAGATCGAATTGCCTCTCTTTTAGTCTGTCCCTGATGAGTCTCGAGCGCTCCAATGAAGAACGATTTCTGAGAGTCCTGAATATCCATCTATTCCAGGTCAATGCGCGCGAGCCCTCTACGACTATCGCGCCGCTGACGACACTGAGATTTCCTTCGATCCTAACGATATAATATCGAATATCGATCAAATCGATGAGGGTTGGTGGCAGGGTGTCGCGCCCGATGGCATGTTCGGACTTTTCCCAGCGAACTACGTTGAGCTCATTTGAATGGACGAGCTTTGTACCTCCTAGTTGTGTGGCTTTCAGTGCCAACCAATCGTTCCTCGATACATTCCAGATGAGACGATAGTGGACTGAGGACATTCAGAATCAGTTCCCCATCCAGCTTAGATAATAATCTGACGTGTGCTCGAGTCCCTTCATGCTATGTGATCAACGTTTGTGTAATACAATAGACAGGAAGCACGGACAAGTAAAGCAGCAATCCATCTGGAGCGAATTCAAGCGCACGTTAGCTCTTAACCCACGGGAAGAGACAGTCATCATTTGTTTCACTGAATGATGGAGGTACCGACGATTTTCCCGATCTGCTCACTGAACTCAGAAAATGTCCCATCCATTGAGAACACAGCTACTGCATACGCCAGTCTGGATGTAGGGAAATTTCAGATTCCCCCTTCCCCTAGACGAGTATCTTCCCCATGACCCGATCAGTTCTTGGATATTTCCGAACTACAAGCTTCGACTCAATTCAATCCGAAACTCCAATTTCCTTAAGTTGTATATTCGCGAGTGACTAATCATCTCATTCATTGAGTATTCACATGAATTTTAGATCCGAGCACCGACGAGCTCGGAATGTGAGAGAGTTTTTAATCAGCTTGCATCTATTAAAATGAGGGTGCACGGCAATAATGCCAAACTTATGTAGGAATCATTGAATGGAAGCTTTAAATAAACAGCTAACTTGGTAGTTGTTGCATCCACTTGATATTTCCTTCGATTCTGCGTGTTTTGCGGCTAAGATTCCCCCGGATTTTGACGGTCTCCTGTGTTCTCTCCTTCCGTGGTCGCAGCCGGGTATCAAACCTCCCTGACCAACTCACTATGGGCCTTTCTTGAGGGATGGCGAAGCAACGAATATTCGGGAACCTGTGTTCCCCTTCGACCTTGTGTCCCGAAATTGCCACTCACCCGAATAAGCCTCTTTCCTCGCGATCAGCCCCTAAGGCGGGTGGGAGCCAGATAGTGCAATATTCGAACTTCCCCTGCCGGCTTGGAACAGCTACTGAAGTCCGCGGAGTTCATTTGTAATGAAACGATCGGTCAGGTAGCCTCCTCAAAGAGGGTTCTGCAGACACAATGTTTATTCAATTTCTACAAAAATCTAACGGGATTCGGTATGGTTTTGCGCTGCTCCTCTTCGAAAGCACACAGTTAGTGGAGACTTCTTCTAATTATAAATAGTCACCATGCACAATGTTAGCGTAATACCTTCTCATGATGTGTCTCTTAAAAAACCCTAATTCGAATCTCGTGTTTTCACTTCATCGATGGATAAACGAACTATAGCAGTGTACCGCTCCTCTGAGTTCCTCGTCGTACATATATACAAAAGTAGCAATTATATACACAGCTGTAAATGGGACGCGGTTCCCTATCACTTTTTCGTCCGTGACGCATGGACTGAATCATTTCGAGGGAACGGGTCGTTTTCTTTCAATCGGAGAATCGATATCCAGATACGAGTCGACGATGTCTTGTGGGTGTTGATCCGTTGCCCCAGTCCCGACGATAAGTGATTCGAGAGATAGCGCGCAGGAGACGGCAGTATTCAATGTTCAGAATTATGGAGAAATGCGTACATGAGATGAAGATTGCGTGGAGAGAACGATTAAGTTGATTCGAAAGGAACACTCCCGCATCGTCACCGATCACAATTCTATCGACCATTCACTCAATCACATTGAATCATTCAGTCAGCTGCTGAGTCCAAAATTCGCGCTGAGCGGATCGTTAGGCCAGCTCCGCCTTGATAAGGCCACACTGTCAGTTCCCTAATTATTATTAATGTAGATTGATGTTCCAGTTGTACAGGTTCTGAAGCTGCACCCATTTCCTCCTTGCTCTCGTCAAGCGCACGAATCCGATTGGAGTCGCACCGGCGATCAATGACGTGCTACTGATGTCAAAACTCAATCCCTACTCCGTCGTCTCGTCCGTTTCCGGTCCTCGGTCTCATCTTTTTCACTGGAGACGTCCAACTTCCGTTTGTAACGTTCCCGCTCAGCTCTCGCTCTCTTGATAATGTCTATGAGATCGACTCCGTCGTCCACCGGGAACAGTTGGCATAGTTCCTTTCCCATTCTTGGTTCGATCTCTTGTCCATCACGCCCGATTTTCACCGGTTTCCCCTGGTTCCAAGGATTATAGAGATGTTGGCATTTGATGAACGGTAATTCCTTCCGACATATCCAATCAACATAGAAAACACCTCCAAGAGCCCGAACACTCAGTCCCGGGGGAAGGACCCAATTGATTGGCGGGATATCGTGCCGAGATTCCGAAGCTAGTCGGGCGAAACCTTGGAAGCGACCCGATTCCTTGACGCTAAACACCAGGATGACATTTTTGCACTCTCGGAAAGCTTGGTTGAGTTTGGCCTCATTCTGGGGGGGCGTCGACCAGACTCCTCGCGCTTTCGAAAGTGCGACATTTTCATAATTGTTCGACTTGATCATGAAGAAACGAGCTTTTTGAACAGATATCGTACAACTGTTGGGTCGTATCGCGGAGCAATGGGCCGGTACGCGACTGCATAGTCGCGTCCTCGTCTACTCCGACCTCGGTCCCCGTCCTTAGAATCGTCTCGCCTACTGTATTTCCTCCGATCGGGCGACCGCCTCTCTCTTCGATCCCTAAGGTTTTTATCGTACATAGGTGCGCTGTCTCGGTTCCTTCTCCGACTGTGTTCCCGTCGGCGTTTCGGACTGGGGGAACGGCTACTCGAGCGAGATCTCGATCGGTAGCCATCCATAGATGAGCTCTGCGAGCTGCCCGCCTGGAGGTTGCACTGAAATTGAATTGCAGAATCTTCATTATGGATGAGCATTCGAGATCATCGGCTGCGATTGAGGGCTTTGAATTAACGCGTGAATAAAGCAAATCCCAACAAACGTCCGATTGGAAATGAGCGACGGAAAATTTTCGGTCCGATCGGAATCGACTTGGATTCAGTATGAGGTCGGAGAGAGATAATTCCTTTCATAGTCATGGGCTCGATCGGTGAAGACTAAACGAGGGCGACCTGTGGAGCGTCGGGGCCCGCGATCGATATCCGCGGGGAGTCAGACCCTCCAAGGACAGTCAGTGTGAATAAAACACAAACAAAAACATCGAAACTCCTCAGCAGTGGGTCACAGACGGAGAGACGTGAATCATAGATTAGGATCGGGCCGATGAAGAATCACGGATGCTTCAGTCAATGAACGAAGTTCCGGGCCCGCAAGGAACGATTCCCTTCTCGATGCCCCCCGTTCTATCACGATACCCGTTGAGAGTTCAGAATTTCCGCTACCGGGAGGAAGCCAAGCTTTCAAGTGGTGAGTGATCAGAAACTCCCGCTCTCTCGTTATTTCAAAAAGAGATTCCAACACGCCCTCTCTGAGGTCGCGTTCTCGGGAGAAAAGCCTCCCGGTCAGAAATTCCGCGTCCGCCGTGTATCTTCACGCCGACCGAGAGCACCAAATCGGAGCGTCCTCAACTTTCCCGTTCATAATCCCCCAATCTCGATTCGAGTCCGGGAGTGTTCTCGGATCAAACCCGTCAGATATCCAGGATTCCTCAAAATGATTTTCGCTTTTATGCATCGGCTCAATTCATTGTTGTGGTTCTCCGACATTGATTGTTATTGTTGTTGTGGTCATCGTCGCCGATCGGTGTTCACCGCCAACGCGAAACTCACCTCCTCCACGACCGGTTCGACGTCCTCTTTATCTTCATCGGAGCTTTCTGTGTGTCGTGTGTGGATGTTGTGCTCACGAGGCATTTTCGATTCGAGGGATTGAGCTCTACTCTCAAGGAAAAGAGTTTGCGGATCCTCGCTGAGTCAACTACTCTCCGTGAGCAACGGCGATCCGTTCTCGCAGCACCACCAGTGACAATCGCTGGCAGAGGAAGAAGCCTCACTCGGGGCCAGGCTTTCGCTTCTCCTAGAAGCTTAGGAATCATCGGCGACCGACACATGGAACTCTCCTCTCCGCTAGCCCGCCGCTCGCCGCCTTACTCCCGCCGTCGCGGTGGTAGTGCTGATGGATCTCTCTCTTATTCCTCTCAACGCGACTCTGAGAGTGTTGCGCGATGATATTAATCAGCAGCACTTCTAAATCTTCGCGCTCTGCGTCGGTGTCTTCGAGCCTTTCTTTCTTCCGGATGCCGGATTTGCGAAGACTATTTGCCACTGTGTGAGACTCATCGAGCTCCGCAGGTAGATTCGACAATCGAAATTAAGGTAAGTTCCGCCAGTGGGTGAAGCATATCTCTATCAGTCATGTGGGCTAGCTGATTACTGATTGCTGACTACCAATAAAATATAATAAAAACAATTCAGGTATCGTTCGTTCGATGTCTCGACCGAGCTATCGATAGACGTTCATCGCGACCTGTCAAAACATCGCGGAGAAACGTTCGAATGGATGGTGGAACGACTCCTTGAGATTCGGCGATCCGTCCGGAGAGCTCGAAGGAGCGACCTGGTGAGTGGATTCAGGACTCTTCGAGTGTTGTGAGGCTCTCCAGGACCGGTGAACGATTTTCTTTCCTGCCGGTTCTGGCTCTCCTTCCTGTCAGATGCCAGGCTGACACGGTACGTCATACGGTGCGGTCTCGATGGATGCCAACAATTCTCGAGTGTTGATGCAACAATGTGAGATACATGCTGAAGCTCTCGTTCGTGTCTTCCAAGTTTCTCATGCTCGACCATCATGACTGGTTTGTCGACGGCTCGGGCTCTGGAGGTCCTCTCGTCGGAGATCGAGGATGCCGTGGCGGAGTTCAAACAGCAACTCGACAACAACACTTCATTCATCGGGATAATGAAGCACTCCCACAACCTACTCTTGTTCAAATGGCTCGGCTACTCGCTGCTTCTAGTCGTTGGTGTGATAATGGCTTTCCTCGGTCACTCCATTTTCACTTTTCTGATCATGGCGTGTATTCTGCTTCACGTCGTCGGCGGTATCTACATAGCGGTTCAGGTGAAGTACGAACTGCACAATCATTTACGGACAGTCATGGAGAAACTCTCAGCTCTGAAGCATACCAAGTTCATTTACGAATCTCAGTGGCAGCCAGTGTCGCCATGCATCAGCCTCCAATGGGTTTACCGGGACGGGAAGCTGATTAGCTGTCCCACGCAATTGATTGTACGTGGGGATATCGTGCGGATGAGAGCCGAGCAAGAAGCTCCGGGTAAATGTGTGTCGCTAGATAAACGGATAACCCTCCAACCATCGGAGAAATATTCGCCTAAAAGTAAAACTGTCATAGGCAAAATAGACCCGTGTCACGTTCTCGTCGAGGGCGTACCGACGCGAGATTTCATGATGTTAGAGACACCGTATCTGAGGTACCTGAGACTCTGCTTGCACAGAGGCACCGAGCCTTACCGTCCAAATAACTTCACCCGTCAACAAAAAATCATTTTCGATCAGTATATCAAGAGGTTCGTCATTCCCGGAGTGGGGGTGTTGTCGCTGCTGGTTTACGCAGCTAACTGCTGTGCCTTGTCCGAGTTTGATCTGCTATACATGACACTCACGATAACTCCAGTCGTCTTTCTACTTGCCTGTCCACTCTACTGGTTCTTACAATTCGCCTTGGGCACTGCCAAAATCCTTTATTATGCCGACCAGTTGTCCGGAGTCACGGAACGCACCGAAATAGAAAACGTGCCATGGCTGAAAATCATCAGGAACGCAGCTCGAAATACAACGCGCTTCTGGCATTCGGGGGTATTCCTCGAAGCCTTCGCCAGCGCCACCAATCTCTGCTGCGTGGATAAAAAAGGGATCCTGTCGTGGCCTAACGCCATACCGGAAAAAGTATTCTTCCTGAGGCAGCAGGCGATCGACCCGGAGACCGAGAACGATGAGCAACGCCTGGCGCAGACCATCGCGAACCAAGCGAAGGCCGAGGTTCTCGATCTCACTCTGAGAGGCTCGACGAACAGCATAATGTTCGATGATCCTAAATGGGTGAATTTCATCCAGAATCTGAAACCACTCGGTTTGGCGATAATGTTGAGCAATTGTGACGAGAAAACCCACGAGAAGAACGCGGCATTTTTCGATCACGTCAGTTTTGAGAGTGAAGACCGCGAGATGTGGGTCCCGGTAATCAACAAGCGCTGTCTCTGCGATCTTTCCCGTCAGATCGGCTTCACGGATCGAGCAACTAACTCATATGAGCAGCTGCAACACCTCTACATGTTTCGACGGAACGAATTCGACTCGCGAGCGAACGACATAAACGTACCCCGACTGAAAATGCCGTTCCCGAACTTTTCTTCCACCGTTGTTCGGGACAAGTTCACCGATGGAGTCCAGATGTTCAGCCAGGGAACAGCCGATCTCATTCTGGACCACTGTACGGACTATTGGGACGGTCACAATATCTGTCCGATCACCGATTTGGATCGCAAGTGCATCCTCGATTTCTATCAGAGGACCTCGTTGACAGCGTATTGTACGGCGTTCTCGTACACGCCCCTGAAGAACTGCGCAGACGTCATCTTGCCTCCGAACACTTTCATCCAGGTGCCAACGCGCAATTTCCACACGAAGGCTTACCTCGGCGGATTTTCCGCTGTCTCGCAGGCGAACCTCAGCGACATCATGAAGAATATCGAGAACTCGTACGAAGCGTTCCACGGGCGAATCTGCAAGCAAGTTTTCATCGGGATGGTGGCCCTCCAATACCAGGCCCGTCCGACGTTCGTCCGACTCATAGAGGAGCTCGATAAGGCGTGCATCCGCTTCGTGCATTTCAGCAAGGAGAACGAACTCAGGAGCAGGGGGTTCTCCGAGAAAATGGGCCTCGAGTCGGGCTGGAACTGTCATATTTCGCTCTTGAACGAGGACGATCAAGAGGAATACGGAGAGACTTCCTTCAGCTGTAGGGCTCTCAAGTCGAAAGTTCGCTTCGAAAACGGAACGCGGTCCTGGAGCACGCCGTCGATATTGGTTTCGATGACAGGCAACCAGAACAACGCGAGACATGGCTTCAAATTGTCGCTCAGTCCATCGCCGAAGGAAGCGGACACCTGTTCGGAGGTGAGCACCGCCGTGCAGTTCGACATCGCCAATCGGGCGAAGCTGCCCAAAGGAATACAGACGATGCGCTCGCATATCGAGAACGTCGATAACGTTCCCCTCCTGGTGTCCCTGTTCACCGACTGCACCACCGCGGCCACCAAGGAGATGTTGCGCATTATGCAGGAGTACGAACAGGTGCTCTGTGTCTTGGGTAGCTCTCGCAACATCGACAATCTTCAACTGTTCATCCAGGCGGACTGCAGTATCTCGTGGACGCCCCAGGCACCGCGCGTTTGCAGCCGATTATCCGCCGAGAACTATGAACAGCTCTTGGATTTGGTAGATACGCTCAACTCGATTCCGTGCGTTCTCCACGCGAAGACCGACGACGAGTTCATGATTTTCCAACTCGTTCGAGAAGCTCGACATTTTGTGTCACAGATGCACAGCTCGTTCCAATTCGCGGCCCTGTGTTCGGTAACATTGTCACTGTTGAATTTGACCTGCCACGCTTTTAGATTACCGCTACCCGTGTCGCCGATCGGAACGCTGTACCTGTTGACAGTGGTGATTCCCTTGATTGCGTTGTCGTTGATTTGCCCGCCTTCCGACACAGACATCATGGCTGCCCCGAACGTCGATAGCCTCCAGGTGAAATTAGATACGCGTTTCTTCTGCCTACTGAGCTACATACTTAAGTCCTCTTACGTCGTGCTGACGTTGGTCCTTTGTAAAGCGCTCAGCATCTTGAAGTTCTGTCAGGGCAGGGGCTGCGACCCCACCGATATTCTGGCTGAGCTCCGACTGCACGATATGGAGGCGCTTCAGTATTTCAATATGTTGCTCTTGACGGTGCATTTTGTGACGCTGTCGACGTCGGGTCTCAACCGTAAGAAGTTGGTCTGGCAACACAATCCTTTCAACAACCGGCTGTGGATAGGTGTAGTAGCAGCTGTGCTCGCTACGCAGACCATAGTTCTGCTCTCGTGTTCTGGACTCCGGGAGATTTCGATTATATCATGGCTGGTTTTCGCCGTTTCCCCGATCCTGTTGATGGCGTTGAGCGAGGGTTGTAAATATCATGAGTTGAAAATGATACGGCGTCAGGAGAAGAGACTCCGTTTACATTTCATGACCAAGCTCGGGATGAATAGTCCTTTCTGAGCATCCTTCGCTCTCACCGTGTTTTAGCTGTTATCGAGCTTGAGACCATTATCTTTCTTGTACATGACTATCAATGATCGAGACTGTTTGTATAAAATCGATGGTTCGTGAACGCTCTTCCATTAGGAGACAAATCACTGTCCTGGCCACTATCAGCGCTGGGAGAGATAAGTGAGCGCACGTCCAGACTCTGACCACTGGATAATTCTGTCAGACACAATGATATATACGAAAGGAACACAATGAATAAAAGTGCAATCACAGGGAATGCAGGAGGACGAGACTCGATTCACAGAAAGCGGACTAGTCATTCTGTGGATGAGAGAGAGAAGCAAGAATTATCGTGGAGTTCGGCCTGGAAACTGCTGCGAAAAGAAGACAGCCGGAGACTTTTGGGATATTTCGAGTGCGAGACTCCGTATCTTTGACTTTATTTCCTTCATCCTCCCAGATCTGATGTCCGCTCCATTCATTATTCTTATCAACATGGACCTTAGTTCAACTCTCCTGCCGGTTTCACAATACACTTCTTATCCTTCCATATCCCTGCTCCACAATTATTGGAGCTCCTCTAGACCGTGAAAAATTCACCGCTCGAATCTGCTCTCATTCGGTTGAGACTTCATCTTCGCTTCTTTGCTAGTTTGATTGAATAATGAATGTAGAAGTGGCTAGCGCGAAGAAAATTGCATGGTTGCCTCTTCGTCCCTTTACTATCCCGTGTATCGCTGCCGTATCTACCCTCCGGTGCGCTTCCAAAGAACTACGTGACTATTCCTCTAGCTGCTGCTGCTACTGCTTTTCGCTAAACACTAAGGCTCACGACTTCTGCAAGGAGAATGAATCCGAGGAGCTTTTATGAGACTACCGGCCGCTATCATCCGTCCACAATCCGTACTTTGAACAACTTGACTCTCTCGTTTGGGCGATTAGCAACACCATAAGTCCGAGAATCCCTGCTCGTCTGTGACCTCAATACGATGGCACCTCCGGAGACTGGGGAGCTTGACAGAGCGTTCTCGTGATGCTATGGCATTAGGACTTGCAGAGACATCTCTTCTCGGATAGCGAGCGTGTATCGATTCTGCTCGATTCCACGCGAGCAATGAAGCTCATCACCGCGGGATCCAACGTCGCGGAATGAAAAAATTCTGAACAATTTCGTCCGAGCTAAGGGAAGGGGATGCGTTTTCATCGATTGAACAATTGAATCAATGGATTGAATCGACCATTTATTTGCAAGTAAGTCGGAGTTCAGACCGATTTAAATTATTCTCTGGGGACTACTTCGACAAAAACGTCCCGCTCCCCACCAACGAATGCGCATCGCAGTGACACCTTTCCGCCAGGAAGATCAATCTTCGGGCCAAAGTGGGACGAGAAACGAAGAGTCGTGAGAACTTCATCGAAAAGCTCCGTTTCTCGGCTCATGTCAGCCACGGGACTCCCTTGACAATCCAGACCGAAATCCCGTTCTGTTCTCCAAAACATTCCAGCTGGCAGCAGGAGCTGCAACTCCTACATGTCATTCGTCAATCAAACCACCAATCGATTCGACTTGCATTCACTCGACTCTTCTTGCTCGGTACACACGGTCGTCGACTTCTGCCACCGTATCGGCCACTTTTTTTTGGAAGAAGCAAGGAAATGAAAATGGACACTGAACTCCACACACATTTGAAACTGTGGAACGACCTCTCGTGGGGTGAAATGTTTTTTTTCATGAGTTTTCACTTTTTACAGTTTTTATCACATTTTTTATATTTTCATTCCTTTGTTTTTACGATTTTCGTCCGGCCAAGTCTCTTCTTCACCTCACTCGATATTTCAGCTTGTGTTTGTATTCACTATTACTCATATATTGAAGGAAAAAACTGCATCGATAGATCGTACTTAGCAGCGGGGGACTCCGTTTGGGTTTCACTACAATTCGTTCTCGTTCGTTGACTAACTATGTGTAGATCTTGTTTTTGCTGGTTTTTTCTTCTCGACGATTTTACATAAAGTATATATACAATTCTTATTTGCCTTGGTAGTCGCCTCTGCCGGACTCGAAGCGTGAGTTTCTTTGTATGAGAGACGAACCCGAGAAAGGTCATACTGCAAAAGATATACCCTTCTCTCTCGTTTATCATGGAGTCAACGTGTGAATGTTGACATCATAATCGTGATTATTGAACCGGTATTTCATTCCAAGCATGGATAGATTCACGAAGCTCTGATAATGTGCAAACTTCATCTTTGGAGCCAGAAATACATAAATGATCTGCGAGTTCAACTTTTCATCACGGACCTCCACGCGGAAGCCGAGAGGAGAACTAATATCATTCGCACCCGCCGCATGGACGAACGCATGAGGACCGAATCCTTGAGAGATTCGACCAACAGACCGCATAAGTTAGACATTCATAGATAATAATATGAAATATAATTATATCAATGATAACGGTGAGAAACTGATAGCGAAGTGGACTGATTCCACGAGGACGATGCAACAAACGCGAACGCGCGGTCATAAAAGAGCTCTCGACTCCAACCACTCGTCGTGCTCAGCTGCGCTCCGTCGGCAAGGATCCGCCCGCTCCGGAAACATTCAATGTCTTGACGTCTTCCCGATAGATATGTGGTCCGGAAAAGACAATCGTTATCATGGTAAAGATTCTGTGACGCGACTATCGACGTATCTGTGGGTATGTAGTCGAAGCTAGATTGCGGAGGGAGGCCCAGAAACTCGGATTCGGTATCGTCGCTCCACTGAAATGGAACAACTCTCCTAGTGGCTCAATGTGTTTCGCGTTGCACTTTCCCTGCTCGTCGATTTTGCGGTGATGGTTCTTTTCGTTGTAGTGTCTCAGCGGGGGTGATAGTAAGATGGCGAATGAAGTTGTATCAACCGAGATGGTTTCGGGTGTTTAGTGAGATTGCTTTCGTGTTCTTCCTGCGGTTACGACAAATTCTCCTCGCGAATACTAAAAACGTTCCGTGGATTCATAACAAACTTGGTCTCAATGATCTCCAAACTCGCTGCCAATATATACGAGACGCATGTTCTGATAAGTGGGAAAGCCCGTTTCTCCTCTGTATCATTGTTCCTCTCTCCTTATTTCGCGAAACTTCAAGATTATGAACGAGAATATTATCGCTCGATTCTAGACACTCGACCAATTGAATATCAAATCACTAGATAACTGTATAATAGTTTATCCTCCGCACCTCCCCTGCTGCCGTCGCGACGCCCTTCATAAGGACGGAAGCGCGGCTCTTCGAGCTACGTGTACGACTTTTCAATTTCTTACGGATTAAATTCAACTAGATACTTGATTTCCTTGCACGCTAGGACATCCGATTTCAGCGCGGACCGAGCGCTCTCGAAAAGTGAGAGAAGCCCCGAGAGAGAAATCGTTCGACGTCCCCGGGCTTCTTGATCTCCTCCGTGGGGTAGTGACGAAATCCCGCGGAGCTCGCGAGGCTCTGAGTCTAGAACATTCTTTGGCTGCACTTCCGATTGTTGTTTGCATTGGAGTTCTTGCTCGAATGCTGGCGGTCACTACGACGCAGCTTCTGCTGTCCAGGAGACGTCCTGTTCTTGTTTAGTCTGTCGAGCTGAGAGCGGTTCGACTGTCTGTCTCGTTTCTGCGTCACGCGGCCGCCGAGCATGGCCGCCTCTAGGGACACCTGCAAATGAGGATAGTGTTCTCGAATGATCGTCGATGGACTTCTTTCGGGTCCCTGTTGACAGCAAATCGCGCCGGCGGAACGGCCGCAGTCAATATACGAAATGGGCATCACGATGACACGCTTGTGGCTGCACGAACCTTTTGGCTTTTCAAATGTGGCACGGTAGGCGTGGCAGTGGCTGTGAGATCTTTGCTTCTGGTTAGATAACATCTATGCGGCTTCTCAGAAGAAACCGATTGGCGCGACTTTTTCATCTCTAAATCCATCATATCCTCATCGTCTTCTTCCTCGATGATCGAGATCGGCGTTGGCGAGGAAGCCGACTCCTCCGTTATTGAGTGATGATACACACTCATCGATGGGTGTTCGATGAGCAAATTTTCAAGCGGCGAGGTAGCCAACTGCTGCGGCTTCCTGGAAAATGCACGAAATTCGTTCCGTAGGGTCGGGATCCTCCTTTAGGGTCCGGAACGAACACAACACAAGGAACACTCGGACCGGTACGCACAAGGCTGCTTCTGACAGTAAATTATTCTAGATATGGGAAGCTAGGTGATTCTCAGAAGCCACGAACGAACGGAAAAAGAGAGCCATCCACATTGACGCGTATTGAGGACGTAACTCGGGGACAGAGCTCCGGGAGGATCATTGTCCCCAGATCGGTGGAGTTTCGAGTACCAAACACTGCCGGTGCCAAGAGCCCGAGCATGAGACGCTACCGCTTTGAGTTAATACTTGTTATTATCATTCCCAGTTCAGGCTTCTGGCAACGGAATTCAACAACTGTGTTACGGAGTGCGGATTACTGAATTGAGCCAATTAAAAAAAACATGGTGCCAACAACAAGGGATTACGGGAAAATCAGCGAAAGCGTTTCTGTCCTTGGTGGCTTGCCTGCCTAGTGAAGACTAGAATAGGCTGCTCACCTGCGAGCTATGCATGCCGCGGGGGCCACGTACCAACTTTCCTCCAGCCCGCTTGAAGGTACGCAGTTTTCACTATCGGCTGAATCCCCGCCATCCGCCAGATAATCGTCGGGAAGTTCCCGACAGCCTCGCGAATCGTTTATCGTTATGGCCGAGCTCGCCTCGTAGCTCATTGAAGAGCCGCCTGCAACACAAGATCCGAGTTAAAGTCCCATCGAAACAGATCCTCGACGTGGTATCGAGGAGCATGAAATGAATAGAATCATACGGAATAAATCGGAGGAGAACAGTGCGTCATTGATGTCAATGAGCCCCGAGAGAGGGTTCGATCTCATACCGTGGTTGACGGAATTCGGTTGCCTCGACTCAGGATCCACAACCAACCAATCTTCGTCTTCGGTGCACCGGAGCTCTTGCGGAGCGAGCACCACGCCCTGAGCGATCTCCGAAGGGCCATGAGTATTGGCTGAGTGTACGGTGGTCGATCCACCCATCAGGTACGATGCAAGGTTGCTCAACATCTTATCGGGAGTAAAAGTCTGCAAGAGAAACAAAGGCTGAGCTGGTGAAGGATTGAGAGCTCTCGAGCATGTGCTTGAGAGGGAGCGATATATCACAAGCGTGTCCATCTGTCTCGAGATCGAATCGATGGTGGAGTTCATTGACTCCTGGGTCAGGAGCGGTGGAAACATTGGACATCGATCCCGGGCGGAGGAGCCTTCCCGGGCGGAGGAGCCTTCCCGGGCTCAGCGTGAGCACGGGCACGAAATCTCGCCGAGATTTCGATCCCTTTGGCAAGGCATGCCGGGGGGTCTCCTCAGTTCGGGATCGATCGAATCCCTCCGAGAATTCATATCCAGACACTCGTACAACTCGAATGGGCATGAGCTTCCGAATGAGCTCCGCAGAATCTTTTCTGCTTCGCCTCTCGAGCGCGAGGGCGAGCACGACAAGGGGAATCCGGCACAGATGTGAAAATAGCGCCGACCAAGCGCAGTGATTGTGTTGCGTTTGCGATTGAGACGGTTAAAGCGGTATAACGAAGACTCTCAGCTTGGCCGGAACATGACTTGGCCCGAGCCGTTTCATGCAGGCGCGAGATGACGCTCAACAAATAGCCCGGCTGACTGACTGACTGAATCACTGGCAGACTGCAGGGCGCTTGTTGGCTACCTGCTGCTTAGGCTCAGGCGGTAGTGCGTATTGAATATTTAACCTCTCGGTGTACCATCGGCGCGGCGGCGGCCTGAGCTGCTTCGAGCCACGGTTCCGCTGCCATACTGCGCACTTGTGTCTTGGCTCGAAGAAGCCTTGCTCGGCGAATGGCCCGCTTCGAGGAGAGCTTACCAGCGATCGCATAGCTTGTCGCCGTACCTGCCCGGTCGAAGCAGCTGACTGTCTGACTGTCGGGAGAGAGCGGCTGACTGTAGAATCAGCGACCGGGATGATGTAATGCTCCACAAAGCCTGCTTCTGTCTTCGTATGCCTCACGTAATCACAACAGGAAGTGCAATCCATGTTTCGAGACTTGTTTCCCGAAACCAATGTCGAGCCCCCGGACACTCTGAACTTCGAAAAGACTGCGAGGTGTAGACATATGCCGAGAACTTGAGAAGTCAATAAATCAATCAGCGCTTCCTGACCACTGTGGTCGTGAAATGATCGCCGATTACCCGTACATGTCCCGTTGTTATGGACCTAAGCAACGCCTGCATTCCACCCGAAGTCATCGCTCAGCGATTTTTGGCCCTCGGCGATCGAGAGTATCGTGAGATTCGACAGTGTGCCAGAGTTACGATCGGAAAAGTCGTCTCGTTGATCCAGTTTATGCCCGGCGCTTACTCGTTGAGCATCTTAGTCCACGTTCGCTCAAAAGAACCGACGAATCGTTGGACGGACCTAATCGAGGCGACCGCTTTATCACTCAAATGAATATGCTCCCACATCTCGCACATATTCCGAGGCGAATCCCGAGGCTCCGCGGATCACCGAGGGAGGATATTCAGCTTCACGCAGCTAGTTCACGAAGCGACACGACATGCTGCGATTCCCATTCAAACTTCATCCCTGTACATGACGCTGATGCTCAATCTCGCATGTACCGATGCCCGTGTGAGCCTCGAAGCAGTGACCTTCCTTTGCGAAAGACCTAGCCCGCTGGCGAAAGCTTGGTCGTTCTTCGAAGTATCAGTGCTCTGCCCCCAAGAGGAACTCGATCGTTGCAAGTATTACGGGGGACTTCACGAGACAAACGTTTTCGGGGAGGCAGCATCCGGCTCTCGTCGGGGAACCCCCTACGAGGGGATCGCCCGGGTATCACTGGAGTCTTCGTGAAAATCGCCTCCCTAGTAGCCTCGCTTACATGAGGCGATTATCTGATAATCTACGCGATTATTTGGAGACGAAAACGCGGTCGGCGCAATCCAATCGTCGATTGCGGAGCCCCCGTTTGGGTCGACCGAGGTCCGACTGAGACGGATAAACGGAAGCCACCGCAGGATTTCTGCACTGGCAGATATGATGCCGAGGGGGATAGAGTATGGAGCTGGGATCTAATACTTGAGAATCTCACTTCCATCCTTGTACTCACGATTCCTGGAGCGGTTGGAAGGCAACAAGTCTAAACTTTCCAACAAGCGAGAAATCGAGCGAGTCGACCGCACCGCGCCTCTATCTGAAGACTCTGCTACATCGCGAAGTTGGCTGGCACGACCTGATTGAGACTCTCTTCGCACAGTTCCTACTCTCCTCCGCATCGCTGTCGACAATGACAAAACTGTCGTTGCAGACGAACGGCTGATCGTCCGGCTGTTCGGATGCACAAGCCAACAGCTGACGCTCATCTTATGTAAACCACTGCGAAGGGCATCATGCAAACTCGGAGACGGCGCGGCGCATTGCCGGGGAGGAAAAATGCGAAACGGGAGGAGGATGGCTGATCACTCGAAACGTTCCGATTTCATAATCCGCGACGTAAACCATGAGAGGAAAAAGTCGAACTTGACCCACATTGACATTGAGCTGTAAGCCAAGGTCGATGAAGTGCGAGCGAGTGTGCTCGCGGAATCGAAACTGAACGCGCCGCATCTAACGCGTTGGCGTGCAACGTCAAGCGGTGTGGTTAGCGTGCCAACTCCATCCCCTACACGGAATCGTCAGAGCGCGGAAGTATTCGTGCGACGCGGTACTAGTTGTTGGGTTCGTGTCCCGGAGAGCAGCGATTCCAACAGTTGTCATCATCAGAATTTCGGATTCGTTCCATCTTTGTATAGTTACGGCACAGCAGCGTCAGAAGCAGTTTCCCGACAACTGCGCAGCGTAACAAGCGTCAGTCACTTTCTTCGCTGGTATCGCAGCCGTAGCGCCAGCCAAACGACGTCGCCGGTTGGTGTACCTGCCCGTCTGCCTACCTGTTCATTTAATGATCCAGACGCCCGGCCAAGTATTGTTTGAAAAGATTCCGCATTTGGTGCTCGATTTAGACAAGCGCGGACATGGAGACACATGTTCGGAGAAAAATCATCAGCTCGGGGTAAATTAATAGTCAAACTTTGACAACAGAAGCAGCAGCGGCGGCGGCATAAACATCGAAAAAGGCTTGCGCTGTTCTGCTAGATCACAGAATTCCAAGGCCGTTTGCATGTCGGAGGACCGACTGCTGTCGGACTGGCTGTCTTCTCCCCGGCCGTCGTGAGCCGTTAACATCCCACAAACTGCGGCAGACGCAACAACAGGTACAACGCCTCGGCCAGCGGAGTGATTGGCGCACTTCCGCGTGAAGATTGGAATTTCTGTTGCTCTCTCGTTGGAACAAAGAGAGAAGGTCTCGCATTCGGATCACGGAAAATCACTCCGTTGGAGCGTTGACGCTCTCGATATCCGATAACGGATTGAGTGAGACGGGGGAGGACAAGCCGAAGTCGAAGATTGGATTCGATTGAGGATCTCTGCCTTCATCCGGGACGAGTCGCTCCCCCCCTCCTCCCCCGCGTTGAGAACATCTCTATCTTGGCGATTCGGATGCCAGGATGCTCCTTCGATCGAGAGCAAGGGGACCGATATCAAAACCGATGCGGGCAACATCCTCCCGGCGCTGGATATTCATTATATCGGGTCTGTGACCGGAGCGTCTCAGTAAGCGCGAGAGCTCAGAAAGATTGACCCACCTCTTTGTAGGAATGTCCGAGCGACAATAACAGAAATCTGGAAGCACTTCGATTTCAAGTCCGCAAGTCCATCGAACACATTTGATAACGAGATTTGTCGAAGATACACCAAAAGCTCAAGAAAGTCTCTCAATGTCCAAACAGAGCGCCATTCGATATTGTTCTGCCGGGCCAACTCGGCTAGGATCACTCGGAAAGTCTATAGCGGCTTCCCTTTCCGACACCCCTGTGACTCAGGTTGCAGGAGCACTCGATGACGACGCGAACACGACGAATAAGCTCTCGCGCACCGCCGACCAACCCCATCACAAACATTACTGCGCATCCGGCGTCTGTGAGAAACGTCACAAGTTCAAAACAGGCCCACAACACAGAGAACCTGCGCATTACGTCATCGAGCAATCGGTCGCTTTCTCGGCCGGCCGGACGGACCAACTGCGCCAAATCCTAAAAACGTAGAGCTACTACGCAAGCCTCCCCGTCCTTCTGGAAGCTTCTACCGAATTCGCGTTTTTTTTCGAGTCTGCGTACCCAGCACGAATCAAATCGCAGAGTTCAAAGTCGGCGAGCCTAGAAACCTTATTTAAGCCGGTCTGTGACCTTTGAGAGAAGAGATGGCCAATCTCTGCGCATCGACCCATGAGCTCATCCGAATTGAAATCCAAGAGGGTAAGCCCGTGGGAAAATCACAGTTCTGGTACGGGAATGGAACAGCCCGTCGGCCAATTTAATGAATAATCTAGGGAAAAGCATGCGCGAGGCGCGCGCATGGTGGCCTGCACCGTCGCGCGCGGATGCCCATCGACACCGCGCGGCGTCGTCGAGAATTCTCTTGAGCCGAGAACGGAAACAAATACCGAACTCCTTCTGTGTTTTCTTTCGCGCGCAGCTCATTGATTTCCCACCCTGGCCCGAGAATAGACTCATATGCTATCCTAATTCACGCGCAGTGCCATAAGAAATCTGCTCACTCGGTGGTGAGTGGCGACTGTACGTCAAAGTGGCCTCCCAAGGACACTTGTGCTTTCTACCGTTTCTCTGTCGCGGCCAGTGATGTCAGCGGGTGGCTTCGTGCAGATTTTCTCGTCTCTTTTATTAATTCCGGAATAGATTCGATGGCTAGTGACATTCCGTTCGATGAAACGTACAACTTGGGTTCGGAGTGAAACTGTTTCTACCAAGCTCTGCGATTGTGAAGCGACGGTTTGCGATGCCGTTCCAAGGGCGATTGGTCTCCCAATGAGCCGACTCTGGCGCGTCTGAATAGAATCAGACGCCCTTGTTCGTCATCGGATTTTTTTTTCGGGACATGAGAGTATGGAAATCATGGAATATCTTCGGTCCGATAGTTCAGCACGGTTGAGAGCAATCTCCACTCTGGATATTTGTAGTAGCGAGATTGTGATCGGGTCGAATTGAACGAATATTTCAATAACGGGACCGGCGAATGCGGGGGATGTCTCGATTGAACGAGAGACTGCTCTCATTCTCCGTCCTCAGCGTTTGCACAAATCATTTATTTAGCTCAAAAACGCTCCCCGCGAACCTTGGCAATCTCGGATCGATGGGACAAAGAATGCACCAATCACTCACCATGATTGGTGTGGAATTGGAGAGAATTGATTTCACTGTGGGAAGTTCGCTTTACGAATTTCCGAGCTCTCAGATTGAGCTTCGGGTGTGTGAAGTCAGTGACGTCCGCGAGGTTGTACATGTAGCATCGCACTTATTGCGCCGCGAGACATTGCAATGTCGGGTCTTGAATCGACGATGAATGAACGGCCCCCTCACCCATACAGACAGGGCTTAAGGAAGAGCCTATGTGTTTTTTCGGTCGGCAGGACCTTCGAGCCAAAGGCTTCAGTGGAAACTTCTGGTTTCGCGGCTATCGCAAGATATGCGGTGCCAAATCGATTGATTGCCAAAAATCACGGAAGGACACGACACAAGCGCAAGATTTCGCCGTGTACCTCAACTCGATCATCCAGATGATGAGTATAGTGTACTCGAGCGTCTCTCCATGCGATAGGATCGAGGGACGCTTTATCCTTAAAGTTCACTCTGCATCCTGCGCTCGAGGAAGCATATTCGAAACTGTGGGCGACAAGTGACGAAATGTCTGTTCTCGCACCTGGACTCTGCCCTCTACCACTGAGGCTCGGTACTGGTCCTCGAGTCACAACAGTACACTGTGATCGTCAGGCACTCTCTTCCTGACCACGCTCATTGTAATCAAGCCAACTCACGAACTGTTCGGCGACAGGAACGCTCAGCACGAGCCTAATGGCGCTTTTTCGCACGGCTCTCAAACATCGTACTTAAGCACTTTCGAAATCTCACGAACAGAAACGAGCCGCTGCTACGTTCGCGTATGATATGATAATGCCTAGTCAGCAAAGCGGAAATCGTCGCCTCGAAGCACCACTGGGAAACGGAAGGAAGCGTCCAGTAAATCCTCTTCCGTGGCACATCTATTTTCGGGGAATATTAGTTATCCTTATCTCTCGATCACAAGTCGCTTCGATTTTGAACAGAGCTTTCGAGAACAGGTTCCTCCCTCCAGCCCCCGAGCGGGAAACAATCAGAATATGCAGAATCTGTGGATACTCTTCTCGTTCACCTTAATGATCGAACGCCGAATGACCCGTATAAATAATAGAGTGAGAGGTCCTACTCCCCCTCTAAAGGAAGGTAAGCCTCACACGGGCTCGTTTTCGCAGCCCCGAAAATGATAGAAGTTCCTGTGAGGAGCGACCAAGCCCTGCAACGGTTTCCTCCGCCCACAGAGAATCGGGGTCAAAGCTCCCTGAGGCTTCGAATCCTATTGTTTAATCCCAGAGACGATTTCATAGCATTCAAATAGCGTTTTTTGAGAGAGCCCGGTCACCCATCAACGGTGGAAACCAGTCTCAGAGCCCTCTGAAACTTAGCTGAGCCGCCTCTGAATGCAGAGGTCAAGGCTGTGTAGCATCAGCTGATTGAAGAACCAAAATGTCGCTTTCGAACCAACTGCGCATTTGCATACTTTCGAGTTCCGGGGAAATGAATTCCTGACGAGTTTGACGTTGAATTCTTAACAGAGCTCTGGAGAAATTGATGGTCGGCAATGCAACCTCTACGCATCTCAGGGCGAGCCACCAAGTCCTCTGTTGTCGAGTTGGTCGTTGGCTTTGCTTTGCTGCGCTGATCGAGAGATGAAACTGTAGCGACGACGGTAGAGCTCTCTCGTGGTCACAACACTGTCGCTGGGTACACTGCATAGAGTTTCAAAACCGGATGCTTACCCAAACGGAGAAGTGTTGGGATCCCTGAAGTTCCGAGAGAGCCGAAGTTTCCAAAGTCTTCTGTCAGAGCTGGTCGTTGACGATCAGCTGTTGTTGCCCGTAGTATGTATCAGGCTGCAGCAGCAGCTAAGCATCACAAACTCAAGAGGCTATTGGTCGAGGGCTGTGATGCAATGGCGAAGCTCGCGCGCCCATTGGTCGCTGTCATCCCGGTCCACCAATCCCAAAATGAAGAGTTGTGTTTACAAGCGACGTCACAGCACAATTGCTCCCTCTAGTGATCGAGTCTTCAACGATGACCTGCCTGAACACCGCTCAACCGGGAAAAGAGAGCGCAGCGAAAAAGGTTGCTCTCCGAATTTGAACAAGGAATGGAGATTTCGCTGGATTGAATCAAATTTCGTTCGACTGACCTGATCGCAGTCTGGAGCGACAAGATCGTGATTCCGGTTTCGAACAGCGTTTAACGGAAGAGCCAGAATGTGGATTCCCATCTGCCCGAGATCAGATCGCCCAGGTCGAGTCTTGACGGGGATCGTTAGGAACTTTTGGCGTTCTCCGCCGAAGATTGCAATTCCTGGATTTTAGTTCGATCATGGACCTACGGTGCTTGTGAGCGCCGGGGGGTCGGCTCAGGAGGCTTTCTCCTGGCGTAGGAGACTTTTCATGGGGGAGTCCGCTCGACGCCTGCTCTTCTTTCATGAAATTGAAACCGTTCCCATTATTGCGCCCAAGGTTAATCCCCGTCATTCATTCATTCGACTAAATTCCTGTCTCATCGACGAAAATCGTTCTCCGTGGGCAACGCAGTCGACGTCGGACGCCGTCAGAGTTCTCTCTCGATATATCCGCGACCTAGGTACACATCATGGTCGATTTCGGACTTTCAGCACGGCATTTTCGCAGGAATTAGTCAAATCATGTAGTTCCTTGGTACTGTACACGGAGATTCTCTAGCGCCTGGCGCAGATCGGCCCTGAGTTCCACCCCACCACATCGCTATACCCTGAGTCAGCTTCGAGAGCGGGATGGGGGGTCGGTGACTCGTCGTGGATCACGTCGACCCTGCGGGGCTGGAGGTTTGAGGTGCCGCTTTTGAATTCATCCCAGGGATTTCTCTAGCATCGCCTGCGGCAGCGCGATGAAGGTATCGAGCTTGATCGCTTCTGAGATTCCGTGATGAACAATGAATCAATACGGAAATCCTGTCTTGCATATCCTTCGGGAGGTCCACGACTCGAAACCGTCCGAACCCTCGAGCCACCGTTTCCCCGATGGATTCTGATGGGCACCGCTATTAGCCAGGCTCTACGGGGGGTAGCGGCGCATTCATCCAGTAGGCTTACTCGGCGCAGACTTGGGCGGTAGGTTTCGGGGGGCAACGAACTTCGAGGAGCGACGAATTTCCGGTCGGGAGCTTCTGTAATTATCGGCAGTGCAATGAGATCAATCGTGAGCGAAACGAAAGCGCAAACTCTAGACTTGGCGGCGAAGTGCCGTCTCAGACACGAACGACGGGGTCTGATCACCTGGAAGATCCCTGGAATCGAACCCAATCAAGCACCTTGAACGACAGAATGTTTTTCCTCCCCATCTAGCTTCAAAGAGAAGAGTAGAGACGATTTTTCAAGGTTTGGATCCATACAGGATCTATATGCGTCGAATCCTGCTGTTCTCATCAATGTTCTCGTGACTTGTCCCAGAATGATCACTCGAGCCATCGGTGGACTCCGGAAAGAGGGTCGCTGATCAATGTGAGCTTCACAGGCGGAGGGCTAAGGGAGAGGCTAGTCTGTGAGAGGGAGGCAGTGGATATGCAGTAATTTCAGTGGACGAAGAAAAATCATCTCATTTTCCATGATGAAATCGGGTTGACTCAGGTATTAGACGATATTCTGCGCTCGGGAAGAAAGGAACCCCGCCAGGTGGCACTTCAGGTGAGTTTGAGTAATCTGCTTCATGTGGAAGCTTATCGACCACTTATGTCAGCTATATTAGAGCGCGATATGAACATTCATGTGCATTTTAGGTTTGAGCCAAAGCGCGAATATGGGCCGAGATGGCTTCTTAGAGACCACCTCGAGATTCATGCTTTCATTCTTGAGCCTAGCACTGGCACCTCCCGTTTCCGCATACCACATCGATATTCACCATTCGCATCTTGATGACTATCGTGGATGACCATTGGATATACGTAGGCTGAATATCAAGAGATAATTCGAGAACGTTGACGCTTTGACGGGCACAAATCCCATTCGAGAAAGTGTCCGCGGAGCCCGCTCAGCGTTTCAGGAGTTTGGATGTCACCTCTACCAGAGGCGATCCGGCATCGCGCTTCCACGTCACTCTTGGGAAAATCGGGCTGATTTCTCGCATAATTCGGGGCTTCCTCGGGTTATATTCTTGCTCACCTGCAGACCCGGATGAAGTTCAAATCATTCGTTCCTCTGATCGAGCTTCGAGGATGGGAACCCAGTCATCTTCCGGCTTCTTAGTTCGGTCGCGGAGCAGTTTCAGAAACGTTCGTTAGGAGATTTCTAATTCGTCATAGAGATTATTTCTGGCATCTGTGCTGTTTTGAAGCCCGAACGAGCGATTCCCTCGGTCCTCGCTTCAAATAGCACCTCTAATCCTCGGCAATGAATTTACCAGCGACGTTGATAGTAGTAATAGCTAGTATCATTTATTAACTTTTTACACTAAATTTTTTTTTAAATTGAGACAACTTGTCGCTGTCGCTCACTTCGATAGGTCTCCTCCTGGTTCGGTTGCTTAGTCCGACTTCAGAGTATTCAGACCAGAAATCATTCCATCGTTGAGATAATTTGCGCACTCGCTGGCTCCTTGACCTGTCTACCTATCTACCGATCTTCGAAAATTCTATACCTGCTTTACCTACTTAGCAAATGTTCTTCATTTCATTTCTATATCCACCGTGGTTTCTGCTTCCGTCTGGTACTAATGTGATGTGCTTTCCAGAGCATGTCAAGAAAAACCGCTCCTCCCACCAGAACCGTTGCATTCATGTAGCATAGGGGTTCCCTTTCGAAATTGCGTCCTGAACTCATTCGATATTCCCTCCAGTCATGCCTCTAAAGATGCAGATCCGCGCATCGGCAACCATTCGCTAGCTATCCACGGGGGAAATGGTTGGCAAAAGTCGTCGAGGTCCTTCACATCATTATTGGACGTCTAGCCCCTCAGTCCGAACCCTTCAATGTCTCGATCGGATACCCTCTTAATCTGGATTTTGCGGAGGAAAATTCTTCATCTCTCAATTTCCCCGAGAGGAAAAATGCTCGCTTTCAAGGCCGTGCCTTTCACGTGCGATCGTACCGTGCTGAACCATCTTCACGTCGGATTGGGAATTCCGGGAATTCCATCGAGTCCTATCTGGATGCCGAGTCTCAGAAACTAGTCGCAGGGTATCATTGCGAAATCCACGCCTGACACTCGGATGCCGCCATGATGATCAATCGATGAAACACCCGCTGATAGAGCATCCCTTCCAAGATTCTTTGTTCGCTCGTTCTAGACAGTCCCCGCCAACTTCCGTATATCTTTTTGCAATTCGTAGCTCTTTGCATGCGCCTCCATTGAGCGAGTCCACGCTGGACTCGGTCTACTCCAGTTGAATCTACAGTATGTGGTGAATAGACCGCCGAGAACAAGTAGGACGATGACGAAAAGGAGAGCATTGCCGAGAGGATTCAGAAACCATCCAATGATTAATCCTCTGTCGGAGGTAAGTGAAATGCCCGATTGATGATCTACTTCTGTGTTACATGTTCAAATCAATGGAATCCTCCTGGGATACCCGGCTCTGACGGGCATGATCTCATAAAGCTTCTTTCATCCGGCGATCGTATGCACCTACGTTTGTGATCCCGTGCGGTAAATTAAAAGAAATTCATTCGCTCCATCACGGAACTTCCCAGTGCTAAACGGATTCCTGAGGATTGTGATAAGTTGTGATTCTCTATAATGGGTCGTGAAAAAAAAACGTTGGAATCACTCGAAGAGCTGTATGCGATCGACCGTTCCCCTCCGCGAGGATCAGAATTCTTATTGTTCAGTTTCTCTTGATTCGTGATCACCTCCTATAGATCATGTGGTTCTGCACGACTCGAGTGAACGGGAAGCCGAGTTGAAAACATTGGAACTTCTAGTTGGCGTAACGTTTGGTCCAAAGACGTGCCGTCCTATCGTGTTCCTCACGATGTTGTAGGAACTGAGTGGCAATGGAGCCTACCAGGGGATCCGCTGTCGGAAGAAAAATATACATCGTCATATACAAAATCGTTCGAGCTTGTCGAGGGATAGATATCTGCCGGGACAGAGGAGTCGCCGAGCGCTCGCGTGGCGGATATGATTCGAACGTGGGAGAGTCGCTCGTGGATTCAAAGACAATAATTCACCATGCTTCCGTATTATAGTTCCAATCTTACCAGGATTACAATCGGTCAGCAGAGAGCAAATTGAGAGAAGAACCTTAGAGATTGTAAGAGCCGGTGACCAATTGTCTTTCAGTATGTCTAAGCAGATCACTCCTTGAGAATTTATGTTGCAGTGATATATGCGCGTACGGAATGTGACCTGGAATAAGCTCTGAATTAGACTCGAGTTGGCTCGCTTCCCTTTCGTATCGACGGAGTCGGCCGGGATCTCGAGGAAGACATGATCAGTATTCACCTTTGGCGGTTTGAAAGGATACTCCGGCGTGAAGTGGATGTCGAGGAAGAAAATACCACCTTCGTACACCGACCCTGAAAAAATCGACACGATGGTCTACACGAAGCCTGAAGGATACATCCGAGCGTAGGTCAGAGAGGGCCATCGGAATCATTTTGGAAATTTACGCGGAAACACCAACCTGGAGGTCCGAGAATCGTCGATACCCATTCGTACATATTGTCACCCTTGGGACCGGCACTGCAGTTCGGTGGTGGATCGAGAGTGATTTCTGCCAGTTCCTATTGGGAGACAACGAGGGTAATTTCGCATTTCTGCCAAGATCCTGCAGGGCCTTCCAGATCGGCCACGGAAACGACGGTGCCTCATCTTATGATCCCCAATCAAGACCCTGAACTTACTTTCTGGATACGTTTTGCGGATGTAGAAAGTGCTTTGGACATCTTGGGGTTTAGTCTAGCTCCGCCTTCCTTGGATTCCTTCTCTTGAGAGCTTGAATTTGAAGTGGATCTTCCTGAGCGGCTTCCAGAGGGTCCTGCGTTACTTGACATTTTCCGCTCGATACGATATCTGCGGCAAGAAATCGGGGAGGCTGTCAGTCGTTTCAAAGCGAGGCTCGATGTTGTATGCTCGAAGATGAACGGGGAAGCTATAGATTCCATTAGCGGGCCGCGCGGGTCAAGAATTCGAGCAGGCTATTTCGGTTCGGGGGAAAACTTCGTCACCATCGTTATCACTTCCGAACAGTAAGCGGTTCGGAAAGAGCAGAACCTGCAATCGCCTACGGGGGTCTCGGATTATCAGACGGCGAGTCAATAGAATTCGATCTGAACTCCGGCGAAGCGGTAGCTTGCTGCCCAAAAAGTAAGAACGAGAAAACATGCGAAGATGATGTCATTACTAACGGAAGCTGGCCAAAATGAGACCGCACGCAGAGCAGGGCTGAATAGTCTGATCCCCATGTAAGAGGGATGTCGAAAAAGTCGTCGGAGTCAAATTGTCGGCGAAGTGTTTCTCGAAAGTGTCATGGGTACCATGGGTTTTCCGACTGTGTGAGCCAGGCCGTTTCTGCTCGAGGGTCAGCGAACTTATTTCTGATAGTACCGCCAGAAAAGAAATTGACCTCCGATTGTCCGATTCCGAATACCAACTAATTGTTGCCGTCTATCCATCCTTTCCTATCTTTGATGGGGAAAGCAGGTACTATTCTGTATTTGTGATATACGCAGCCAACGACACGGGTGATACACGGGGAATGCAACGCGATTGCGGCGTCCAACTCACATATTTATGGTTCCACGCTCGGCGAGATGAAGACCGGTTCCCCGGGACAGACTGTACAAACTATCCTTCAATGGCTGCGTTTAGAATTCATCCACAACCAGCTTCGGAGAACGAATCTATTCTCACTCAAAAAGCAAGCCTCTGCGTCATTCGATCGCGAAGCAAGATGGCGGATGGTGCGATTCGAAAGGGTCCGCGGCCCGGGTACGGCAATAAGACCCCACTGTTTACACTGGATGAACGCATCTGTTTACGTCTGTCGCTGGGCAAGGCAATGGGACCTGGGACCCCACTGTTTACAATGGGATTTCTGCAGAGACTATCAGCGGCGGTGGCAGCTAGCAGACGCATTCAAAAGAGATAAACAGACTTGGCCGTCGCTGCTTCGGAAATGCAGGATGAGGCGCGAAAATTCGAATGCCGATTTGAATCAGCGGCGGCCAGTTAGTACAGAGCAGATCGTTCAACGGCAGACGTCTGAACAGGTCGTTTTCAGTCAGTCAATATCACGTCGCGGTTCGGTGCAGTCACTTACTTATGGTGGCAGCGGCTCCATGAAAGGAAAAGAGAGACAGCGCGCATAGAATTGAACAAGATACCGCAGAACGTTTGAATGAACGGCCGGACGTGCGCTCGATGGAAAAGATTGATTTGGGCAGCAATTCACGGGGGCTGGACCCGGCTGCCGGTTCGGGGCAACTTGGATAACTGCAGCGAGGACACAAATGGATTCCTGTAGGATGACAGCGTAGAACTACGCTATAGCTCCCAGTAGTGCGCACCGACGGCGATGGGGAGTACTGAGGAGGCGAAGCGCGAAGACAGGCGATCGTTGTGACGGAATCGAGAGAATGGAAGAACGGAAGGCACTCCGAGAAATGAGACTCGAGATTCTAGGAAACGTCCACATGTCAGACGAAGAGGAGGGGGAGATCAGCAAGTCACACACGGCAGAGGGAGACGTACAACCATCAGGAAAGTGGACAACACCGTGCCCCTCGATCGGAGTCCCATCGTTGTGTCAGAAGAACCCACCGAGTGTTCCTCGGGTGGGTGAGATAATTCAGGGATGATGTCAGGAGATCGGAGGAAAGATCGAAGCACGGGCTCAGGTCGAAAAGACGTCGGAAGACATGGGAACAACGAAATGCCTGTTCGTGAATATATCGAGAAGATCAGTCGGATCATCTGAATTGCGCGGTGGAATTGTTGGAATGCCAAAGAGCAGTTCAGATAGTACGGAATCCTCAATCTCCGGAAGAAGCTCCTATGGGGAGTTGAAAGCGACGCGAGCATACGTCACGAACAAGTGCGTCCGCTCACGGGTCTGAGGAGCGATTGTCGAAGCCCCCCTCTGACACATTCGATGGAGGGAGCGTCCACGACTTTTCCAGGCGCTGCGGGCTGCGGTCGCCCCGCTGATTCAGCAGCCGAATGGGGCGTCCGCCATCTTGCTCCGCGGTCAAATGACGCAGACTACTTCTGGCACCTTGAAGTTTGCAAACAACTTGCCGCGTTTCGAACGCTACATGTATATTCGAAAATCAGTGATCGGGAACAATTAAAGGTTTTCACGTGCGCGTTGTTGCTTCAACGGAAGGTGCGTAGATCTCCGTGACTGATCTATCCTTTTGTTCTGAGATTTCACTGAGGACCAGCGGCTGCTCTGGAGAATTTGCAGCCGGACGGGAGCCGATCGGTTCGTCGCCGTATTTTCCCCGGCTCTCTGTGGCAAAGTACTTGTTCATTGATCCTTATGGCGGAGATGACATTCTCAGGGAGAGCTGTTTTTTTTTGAGGACTGGTGTCGACCGAAATCATGAGGAGAAAGATACCTGGTAGGATATCTACTCCGGGAAGTATTCGGGCCTTGTGAATCGGAACTGGTGTCAGACGCTGCGCATCGCCTCTTGTCCCCATCAGGAAATGTTCGGGTGGTCGGGTGCGATATCATTCTCGGCTTCGGACCGACCGGCGAACAGTGATCCTGGATCGCAGTCGGGAGGGACAAGGCTGTTTGACGGCTCCTCCGTTTCGTGCTCGTAGCGCCACTTCGCGCGGGTTCTCATAATAACCCCGAAGAGCTCGGATCGTAGCGTATTGACGACCTCTACCCCCTTTGGTGTGCATGAAATCCAGAATTCTCCACGAGTAGATGAAACCATTCTTCAAAGATCGGCTTGATAGAGCGACATAGCCCCGTCTCTCCGGCAATCGTCCCTCTAGCTCTAGACTCAATGCGAGGCCGGTGTGTGTCGCTCAATTCGCACCCATTTCCGACGAACAAAAGCCACACGGACTTAATTACAGTCGGACCCGCTTATAAGAGATACGCATATAAGAGACTTACGCTTACAAGAGACAGATTCTATTCCCCGGTTTCCGAGCCCATAGTCTCCCATCTTAAAAAAATCGCGTATAGGAGACTTGAAAACTCGCTTATGAGAGAAACTCGCTCATAACAGACTCGTGTCGATTCCCCTTCTCATAGGATTCCATGTTGAAGGATTCGCTTTCAAGAGACAGATCGGAGCACTTTCACTACGAAGCGATTTTTTCCCGATTGCGACTGCTCGTTAGGCCTTCTAAACGCGCCTTAGGCTAACGTATGCGGGCCCGTGAAGAAAGGTTCATCCTTTCCGACTTCCAACCATTTCATCCGCGATTGGGTGTTTCCGCGCATAAGAGAAACTCGCTTATAAGACACTTTTCACGGTTCCCCGAGGTCTCTCTTATAAGCGGGTCCGACTGTATCTGTCGAAGGTCTGGGACAGTTATGCTCCATATCTTTGCGTAGCTCTCCGGTATGGCTTCCGGTGTGTCTTCCGGCGGATAGTATGAGCATCTTTGTGAATAAGTGAAAGCTAAATTTCCTTCGTATCCTTCGCAGCTCCTCACCTCAATACCGTTCATACAATAAAATACAAGGGAAATGGCAGATCAGGACTCGTTCCCCGACCTGGAAACAACGACCGATGAGGAGAAGCAACTCGCGGACAAAGCATCGAGGCATTTCAAAAACGGAAATTTTAAAGAGGCTGAACGAGCCCTTCTGGAGCTCAAAGAACGGAGACCGACAGATCTTAGAGTGGCTCAAAATCTGTACGTACCATAGGCGCGCCTCAAGTCCTCAAGTCAAGGGCTTGAGGCCCTGCGCCTCGGCAGATATGTGAGGCGCGCAGTGGAGACTCGGATGAATCTCCGTCCCACCTACAATGTGGTCAATTTGATATTTCAGCGTTCTGAGTGGCCGGTCCTCATCGCTCCTAACTGAATTGGAAAGTATTCTGCGCGAGAGCCAAGGCGAATTCGATGACTTGGATTCTTGCGTACTGTTGTTGAACACGGCATTGCTACAGTTCAAGGCTCAGAAATACCACCGAGCCCAACAGATTCTGGAGAAACTTCTGCCTTTCTTGGAACCTTTGAATGAAGGTTCGTAACAATGAGATTTCAATTTTCGTCCTCGATCTTCCTGTTTGACTCGTGAGGTAAAATGAAGATCGCCAATTGTTTCTCCCACAGCCTTGTCGCGTGATCTTCTGTTTCTATACATGGAGACATGCTTGCGGCTGAACTATCCTGAAAGAGTGCCGTCGCTGATCGGGAGCCTCGAAAGTTTACTATTCGGACGCGGCACCTCACGTAATCAGAATTCGTCTCAGAACCGGAGTACCTCACCCGAAGAAAAAAATGCCGAATTCAAGCCCCTCGTTAACCAATACCGCGTCAGGTGAGCCTGCCGTCGAACGACCCGAGTCGCTAGCCATCCAAAGTTTGCCCAGAAGTGTTGGACATCCTGAAGCGGGGGAGGGCAACCGGAATTTGCTGCTGATTGAAATTCTGAATTCATGATCGGCGGAACGGGCCGCAGAAAGTCGCCTCGCCCTGCCCTGGGGATCTCGTTCCGCTTAGAACGGAGACTGAATTCGGACTACCTTTCGACGCAGGTGTTTGTTGGCGCTCCGCAGTCTGAAGGCGTGTAAGCGAGAAGTCAAAACCCTCAACGGGGAAGATCGAGATCGGAACGACAAGGTACGACATTCGGCGCTGGGCACCCGCAACGGCGCTTAAGGGTGCCATCAGCTCTCCATTCGATAGGGCGCGGATCGGTCACCAGAATCGCTTGTTTTCAGGATGAAATCAACACGGTCGTCTCGGTGTTCTTACGGGCGCAGCTAGAGCATCATCGAGATAACGGCCGGAAAGCTGTGAAAATATTCAACACCCTACAAGGCAAACAAAGCCTCGGCGAGAAACATCTTGCCGCCATGTTCTACAACGATATGGCTTGCATCCACTTCAAAGCCGGTACGTGTTCGTGTGTCGGGAATTTCTAGTGTCGATGTTCGCTACTTATCGATCGATCAGCTTCGTAATCGATATTGACCTCACAGGCAAGTCAAGCTTAGCTCTCCTATACGCGCGGAAGGCGGTTGAAGAATACCGTCGTCAAGTGAGCTGCGGTGAGCCTCATCGTCCGAAGTTACTCTTCGATCTCCTCTACAACGTGGCTGTTTGCAAGTTGTTCTGTGAAAATTATCAAGTGGCTTTCGAAGATCTGCTCCGGTGCACAAAAGTAGACCCAGCCAATCCCAGCGTGTGGTTGCGGCTGGCAGAATGCTCGATAATGATCCATCAGAAATCTCATAGAGAGAAACTCAATCCCACGAATATCGTCAAACGCTTCGTCGGCGAAGGAGCCCAGCGGAAAATTCTCCTGGCAGAAGATCCATACAGTAAACTCAATGGGAATGACGACGGCGAAGAGATCGCTCCGACCATTCACTTCGCCGCAAGAGCGCTAAGAGTGTGCCTAGTCCTAATTAGCGGTCAAGAGGTCTTCTTGACGAAAATTGAAGCCACGAATGGCATTGCCCCCTGCGCGACCGCGTTCCAAGAACTCCGATTGCTACGAAACAGCGCAATCTGCGCGTCCGCATATGTCCACCTCTGCTTGGGAGACTTCGGTGAAGCACAAGCTCAGAGCGAGCTGCTCCTAACGCAAGAGCGGCTCTCCGGGGCTCAGAGAGTTCTGGGGCGGCTTTACTGCGCGGAGGCGCTCTTGATGCAAGATCAACTATCGGAAGCTGTGGAACACCTGAAATCGAGCTACGCGGAGGAAATGACATCGATGCCGTCGGCACCGGCGGACGAGACCGAGGTCCAGTGCAGCATACAGCCGGAAATGAGCTGGCTCCCTTCATCGGCTCAGAGCACAAAACAAATTTTCCTCTACAATCTGGCTGTGGCTTACACGCTGCGTGAAGAGCTCAACAAAGCGGATGAAATCCTCGAAACGCTCCTGAAACAGGTCGAATGTCCGCCACAACATGTAGTCAGATTAGCCATTTATTTACATCTGCAGCAGGGACGTCCTCACCTCGCCAAACAGATCATATGTCAGGGCTTACCGCTGTTGGCCTGTTGAATAAAATGCATTATAGCTAAGTTAAATGTTCGGGAAAACGATTTTTTTTTCTCGGGCGGGAAAGTCGAGAACAATGGGGGAACGAGAGTAATGAATCGAATCGATTAGAATTACCTTCGCGCCGCCAAAAATTCACCATCTAGGTCTACGTTCCATTGAGTCTTCCCTCCAGCACTGAGCCGTGCAAAGCTCTCTGGGCGACCGAACAACTATGGAGCCTTCACGTCGCTGTATATATAGAGGAAAAAATCGAATTCGGGCTCTCCTGGCAACGCCGAAACTCCCGGGAAACAGTTCGCACTCCCGCGTCCCGCGAGAGAGAAGAAGCTCTCAAGACACTCCGAGAATCGCATGCAAGACTCTTCAGAACGTGGGCGTTGACAGATTTTTAGGCGCCATTTGTGTCTTCTCGCCGAGGGAAAGACTTGAACTCGCGGCCGAATTCAATCGAATGTCTCGATATCCTCTCTACCGTCCGCCGAGGGCTCGTCCCGCGACCTCGGTTCATAGATACGATAATTTCTCCAGAGTATCGGAGTAGACAGATCCGTCCGAATTCAATTCGGAGCTCGGCCTGCGGCTCTCGGTCGAATCCAATTCCTTACGCTCCCCTCCGTCACAACGGGTACTCCACGCATTGTTTGTGACTCCTGAGGATCGGACGGTTGGGTCGGGGGGATCATACCCCGAAACTGCTCGAAATCTCTATGTTTGCTCTCGACGCACGCAGCCGGTGAACTGTCGGATGGCTATATAAGAGCACAGAGTCCTCTGTTTGGCAGTTCAATTTGTTTCCTGGCCTGTCTTCCTCTAGGACATAGTGAAGCAACCATAAGGTATGTTGCCGCCTGGCGAGGAGAAAGGATTTGTCTGACACCTCTCACAGAGCAATACGTCCTGCTTACTTATCTCTTTCTATAGCTCGCTCGTTACTGCGTCAGTGTTGATCAAATCCCGTCGCCCTCACCACTTCTCACTTATTATTCCAATGGTCACCCTCTCGGCGATCCTCAGCAAATTATTCAACATCATTAACTCTGTCACTGAATAATTAACCACACGCAGGTGCAATCTCATCAATATTCGTTTCGATATGAGGATTGGTGGCCTCGCATTGGCTTGCGCGTTGTTAGGCTTTGTTTCATGCGATAGTACATACGAAGCAGCGGATTACGCTACCACAGAGGAGGTTTCCCGTCAACCGAATGCTCTGATACTCGTGCGTCGAGATTCTCATCCCCCCCAAACTTCGTCCGTGCCGTTCCTCAACCATGCCGACGGTGAGTGAACTCCGGATGGCTCCCAGTCGGGGGACCACTCTCCCTGAAATCAAAGTGCCTACCTATATATCATCTATACAGGCCCAAGACGGTGTAGCCGATTCCGTCTACCGGTTCGGGTCGGCTGATCGCTTGCTCGTGTTTCAGTGATGATGGGGGTCGACCTACCGGATTACATCATCTCCGCTCAGAAAGGCGATGTTCCGGCAGGGAACCGACATATTCAACACCTCCGTCAGAGACTCTTCCACGGCGGTCGCAAACGTTAGGAGCGGTTGCCTGATTCAGCAGAATAGCAGAAAATGCGACCGTCCCGGAGGTATTGATGGCGCTTGAAGAAAATCTGAGGGCTGCACCGGAGAGGCCCCACAACGATGTTCGTCATCGATCTCTCGACCGTCGACATACGATACGGTTTTAAGCCGTCTCGACTGAATAATTGAGGAGTCTCTTACCCAATACTCAGCTGCCGCTCCTGGTCTGATAACTTATCCAAATAAAAGGAAGCTGAGCATTGAACTTTCGCTCTTCGGAAATTTTGAGCACGTCGGTCGTGACAACATGAGCTCCATAACTAGATAATTTAAGATCCATCAGGAAATTCGCGCGGCGCGAATATTGGCGGCGGAATCCTCCCATCAGCTGCTGGCACCTACTGAGGGTAGCATTCCCCGGCCCAACTCTGTTTCCGATCCGATTGCAACTCGGAGTATCTCAGTGCTGACTCGCAGACTCACTCGATTTGTATGCAACATCGAAGTAGCCTGCGGAGATGCTGATAGGCTAAGAGGGAGTTACTCTGCCCGAGAAGGGCTGGTTCATCTTTATTCACGTCCGTGCATAACTCTCCGCGCAGTGAATGGTAACCCGTCTGCGATCCCTCGCTGCCAACCCAGACGAAATCCGGGGAAAGGAGCGACGAACAGATCCCGGTCGAGGGTCATATTATGTATAGGTAGGGTCTCCAACAGCCCACTCTAGCCGGTGATTCCTTCAGAGCCGGTCTTAAGCTCGAACGTTAGCGAGTTTGAGAAACCGTGATAGTCTCTATCGGTCATCCCCTGGATTTCATCCGAGGGGGCCCTACCTGTTTCTTGCTCATGCTGCCCCATGACTCGGCAAACTTTTGAAATGAGGTGCCCTAGCGGTTTCTTTGCGTTTTCACAGATGGAGGTGAGGGCAGAATACGTCTCATTCCCTCCGGTCGAAACCGAATCGATTGAGTTTTCCGTGCAAAGCTGCTGAGAGCTTCTCGAAATGCGCCCTCCGCCAAAATTCACGGCCTACCACGGGCCCCGATCACAATATTCCCGGAATAAATTAGGCGGATATAAGTCCTGCCTCTTGGATACCTCGGGTCACTCCGATAGAGATCGTTGACGACACTCCTGCCGTGGGCGCCTCGACCCACCGAGGATCGGGACTTCACGAAGGTTTGCTGCATGCGGGTTTCGTTCCCGTCCGCGCATCCGCGCATCCATACGGCTTCGAAGAAAGCGACTCCTCCGTCTGAACCAGTCTCCTCCAGCCAGTGCAATCTTTTCTCGGTTTTCCGGACCCTCGGAGCATTGGAAACTCCCCTCTCCATCACGTGATGACTTCGGCTTCACTGCCGCTGACCATCAGTCGTTGACTTTACGGGTCGGAAGACGCGTGATTCCGTTTGTAAGCCAGGTCCGAATGTCCCCGATCCGCGTTCCCCTCCGCCCACGAGGAGGATTAACGAAAAGAGCGGTGTTCGGAGTTCCGGACCCGATTGCTCTATTGCGGATTCGTGGAGTTCAGGGAGGGCTCCATTATCGAATGGTCCGGAGGGTGCTGGTGATATCCTGGGCGGCCGACCTTCTTCAGAATGCGGCTGATCGGGCAAACGCCCCTCTCCTGGGGACGTTATCCGATTGTCTGCACCGGAGGCCGCGTGTCACTCGATCGGGGGAGCCGCCATCAGAGTTCTTCCTCAACAGTGCACTGTAGGAGCTCAGAGACTGGTTGTGATCTTATCGAAATCACCGGTAACGAGACAGAGCTCTCCAATAAATTAATTCGATGCAAAGCCTGGACCTGAAGGGAACCTCCTCCAATTACAAGCCGCTTCGAATAAAGCATCCTGCCTAACGAGCCGGACGGCCGCTGAGTGCGGTGAGCACGAGGAGTGCCCCGTTGTCCAATCGAGCGAGTCGATGAATTCTTCCTCGTTTCTGATTCCAGTTTGAATTAGCGATTTCTGAAGCGGTGAGAGGGATTGTGATGCCGCCGACGCGAATTCGAAACGATGTCCGGATTTACTCTACCCAAAAATTCAAAGAGTCGACCTAGTTTCTCGACCGGACTTCGCTCGTCCGGCGTAGGTATATGATCTGAGAACAATGGCTTTGCTGTCGAGAACGTATCCGTGGACTGAATTCTTGTTGTTTGGAACGAAGGTTTCCGAAACACCGGTGCTATCGTATGTATGTCTCGAACGAGCGGCTGTGAGATGCGCCACATGCAATATATTCGCTACACCAAAAAAAATTCAGACTAACAGCGAGAATGACAAGCGAGCCGATTTTCCCTTGTCCGGAAGCATTAAAAGGATATCGATGACCTGCGGATCCTCCATCCAATGTTGTTCATGCAATCCGTGAGGGGAGCGTGAACAACTCCTATTTGACAGACCTACAGCTTTTGTCGCCTTGCGATGGAGCGCGGTTTATTCTCTGCTTTCCCGGTGCGCAACACCTGCTTCCGCGAGGAAATGGAGGAGAAAATAGGAGACCGTCAAGTGTCGGCTGCAAGGCATATCCGAGGATAAAACGAGGCTTTACTCTCATCCTTTGATACACATAGCGAAATCCGCGGGGCGCCTCGAAACTGGTGCCTTCGCAGCATAGAGAGCGCCCGATTGGAAAGAATTTCCTGCCGAGTCGACATCGAATTCGCGACGAAGTTTGTGGGATTGGGCACTCCTGCTCGACCGCGAGTCAGCCAGGACAGGACTCATCCAAATTTGACGATTGTGATCAGATTGCCATGGCTAGCCCTTATTATCTCTCAACTTCTGGCAGGTTTTCAATGCGAAGTCCATTCCATGGGCGGAGCTACGTCTCGCTCGAAGGGGAATTCGTCTCGAGTTCGATGATATTCCTCCGACTATGAAAAGTTCTCTTCCTCCGACGTCGAAAAGTTCTCGGGAGTTTGAGCGGAGTATACTCTGTCCGGGGAGGGGTCCAAGAGTCAGGAGCTCTAGAGCACACGCAACATTCCGTAGGGGGTCCGACAATATTACAATAGAGGTCTTCGACCGATCCCGTACCTAATTCTATTTCTCAATCTCCCATCGATGTGATGTGGCTTCCGATGCTCAGAGCCTTTTATACGCTCACGGTATCCTGGTGTGATCGAAAGTCCGTAGAGTCGCAACTCGCGTGACTGAAAATGACCCGAGATCGAGGCTTAGAAATCCGGGGCCGGATGGAGATTCACACATCATTTATTCGTTTCGATACGACTCCCTCCGATTCATTCCATCTCGTCCCCTTCTGATCACATGCTTTCGACCGCATGGGCCGAAAATACTTCTCCTCGGTTCACACATGGACATTGGAAGGCTGACATTCATCCGATATCGATTCCAGATCTTCGAACACATCCGATTCTATGTTGGACGTAGATTCACGATGTAACGAACGCTTCACCGAGCTCGGGGTTTCACGCAGGTGCAGAGTTGACTCCGGAGTCGTTTATACCATTGCTGTTGGTCCTTGCTCTCTACTGTCGAAAGAGGAATCCGTATGCTCCCAAGCTCTTGCGGAAGGCTCCCCGCGAGAATTTGTATTCAGATAATCTCTAGATGCTTCACTTACGACTGCTTTCACTCCGCTTGAAATTATTCCGACCCATATCGAAATCGTTCTTCCTCTGGAAAACAAATATCATAGATTGAAATCGCAAAACTGCTGTTGCAGCTCCAAGCCCCGTCCGGCGCTACCCTGAACTCTCAGAGAATTTTCTTGATTCCACCAAATGCTGTCTCCAAACGACGGAGCGTCGCTCGAATCGATCGATGGACTTCTGCTCGGGCTATTCGGGATGAATTCCGAGATGCACCTGACAAAGCGCGACCCTTCTCCCTCCGTACGGGTAGAAGACGCTGGTAGATACGAAACTCTCCCAAGCATCTCGAAAACAGACTTGAGCCTAAGGATGGATTCTGTCAACGCGGCGTCGGGGCCGACGACACTACCTAATTATTCTTGTAGCAACATTCTTCCTTTCCCTCTGTGAGAGACCTGCTTACGACTGTGGCAGCAGTCATTGGGCTGAGCGTTCCAGAGATCGAGCCGATTCATCCTCCGGAGCTTGCCGACATACCGGAGATCAGCGCTCCATTCACCACTTTCCGTCGCCTAATTCCATGTCCGACAGCGGACGTCCAGGGAGATGGATGGAAGAAGATCGAGAGATAAATGATGTCGCTCACAGAGTGCGCTCAGAAATTCATTCGCGCGGCTCTCCACACGGATCACATAGTCGGTTCACGCAGCAACGCTTGATAGCGGAAATGTTCCAAATAGTCTCGACTCAGAACTGAGCCCCTCATTTCCCCAGATACCGTGCTCTGGGATGCGCGCTGCAAGTGATGGGCTTGGACTTCTCAAAGGTAACAGAATATTTGAATGACAAAGGAAGAAAATTAGGCTCTACTGGAAGAGCAAGACGAGGCGCCAAGATCCTCGAGCCGGGTCTTCTCTGTCGAGGAGAAGAGGTAAGCTCTGATTGATTACACAGATGTGAGGGAAACCATCTGACCTTGACTTCAATGAGAGCAGCGCGGATTAGGTCGTCGATGTAGGCGCGAGCCTTGATCCTGATCTCTTCCTCTGTGGCCATTCCGAGATGAGACACTGTTAACTTTTTTTTTATTCCTCTTTCTCCCCTTGCGGTTGTCGTTGATGATGACTGAGGTCGGTCTCGACGTTGCGGTTTTTACGGTCAGAACGCGCTGCTTGCTGCTCGTAGCGATACGAGTCGTCCGTAGGTTGCCTTGGAGAGCGGAAAGAGTTCCTCTCTCCGAAAGCGTTCCACTCTCTTGACCGTGTTTTCAATCGTTCTGGCAGCGAGCAACAGCTTCCGCTACATAACAGCGATCACATTCGTGTTCGGGAATCTCCTGGGATAGCACAGTCCAGCTTTGGAATCCTTGCCTGAACAAGTACATAAAATAATAAATGATGACAGTCATATTAATGGACTACCGCCGGTATATGGTGCACAGCTGGAGGATCGGCTCGGACGATCGGCCTTGGAAGGGAATGTTCTCACAGCGATTCGCTAACTCGGATCCAGAAAACTCAGTGAAGCCTGCAGGTCAAATCCATCGACAGTTCGCGGCTCAGCATATTACGGAGAGCCTGAAGTTGATTCGCTGCGCTAATTCCCTAATCCGGAGCGAGGATTTTCAGACTCGTCTTAGTGGCTCATTCGTCGCAGACACCGAAGCGATTGATCTCCGCACCTTCGGAAATTGCCTCACACCTCGAGGTTCCAGCTCGAGGTGTGATTCTATGAGGCTCTATGTTTGCTGTGGGAGCGCCCTCGAAGGCCCGGCCGGGGTGTTAACGGTGGTCGGTCGAGTAGACCGAGAGGTCGGTCACTGGATGGGCAAAACTCATTAGTGACTAATTTGCGTGCACGTGATTACCTTATCCTCTGATGCTGAAGTTTTCTCACCCAGTAATGGAGGATCATGGAAGAAAACTAGACTAGTGCTTGTCGATCAGTCAGTACATTTATTCCAGCACACGAGAAAATTTCGACAGCATTTATGATTCAACAATCAAGCGACTTATCCGCATGTGAACGCCCCGTCGCTCTGCTAACTATTGCGAGAGATCATGTTTTTCTTCCGAAATTCGTCCTTCCACCGCTAATGTCCTCTCTCAACCTGTTCTCCAAGGTCAAGTCTCTGGTGAGGATATCTTTGATCTCTTCGATAACTTATTCCTCTCGAGTCCCGTCGAGCATGCGGGTCGCATATTGCATATCTATGCTCTGTTTTCGACTATCCATATATATACACTTCAGCTTCGTAATATCCCGCACGGTTCCCGCTATCTTCTCAGTGAAGAAAACATCTTCTCAGTGACCCCAGACGAAAAGTCTCCACTCACAAACACTCTGGATATCAATGGCCTTCTCCCCTAATTGCAGTGACGTAATCCAGCCGGATCTTTGGCACGTTTCCACTTCAAGCTCGAGCACGAACACGGATTTTGGTGTGATTCTCCGCAGATACCTGACCCGACAAATACCAGCGGAGTCCCACTGGGAGCAACCGGTCACTAAATATAAGTTTTCTTGCCTGTGGCCGGGACTCGGACATCATTAGTGTAAGAGATGGAGACGGATCTCGTCCTTCGCTACGTAAGATATCCGAGCCGTCTGATGACTTTTGCCACGGAGGTCCTGTACGCCATACACTCGGGAAAAGAGCCGGGAGGGCACTCGCAGCTCCATGTCGACGATCTACGTAACAGCCTCATTCAATTGACCTTGTCTCTTCCAACATTGCTTTTTATTTACACGTTATTGTTCAGTGATACACGCTGAAACCGTTTTGGCGACTGGGTCATGGGTTTTCAAGGACTTCAACAGCTCTGGGTCGGGAGCTACCCGATGGAGAGTACACGATGTCGAGGATAACCGATGAGCGAGGTTCGTCCATCCATTCTTGGTGAGGGCGTCCGTATCGGAGTTGAATGATGTCAGAGTGATTGTGGCGGGGCGAATCTTATTCTTCGAGCTGACGTCGGCGACGGCTCGAAACGAACGCCGACAAGCACCCTCATTGAGATACAGCTGAGCGCTGACCCGGTAAAATGCTTTCCCATGTGGCACCAATTTGATACTGGGTCGGAGCCGAGCTCAAAGAGCTTCCGGCTGCCGGCCAATTTTGATACAGAAGCACGTCGACTGCAGACATCTGCTGAGCGCTTCGCGAGCCCGGTAGTACCACGGCCCCTCGTTCGACTTGGCTGTGATGACGACTAAAAGGATCGACTTCGATGTGAGTCACTATACACGTGGGAGTCTGACAAAAAACGGAAATGAGTGAAGGTATATCGTGAAGCTCACCCGAAGCCCGAGGCCCGTCCGTGGGCGAATGATATTTCGCGTGGGGTATGGATTTCCGTGCCCTCTGTCAGGGGAGATGAAAAACAATGAAGCCCACTGCGCCGTCTTATCGTCGGTCGGATACGACCCGAATATTTGTTATTGCTTTCGTTGATGACCGAGTGAACGGTCGCTATGTATGTCCAAGAATCAGCCAAAGTTCACCTACCTCGTCGGCCAGTAGCTGTGCCTGTTCAGATATTCCCCGGATATACTCTTCAACGAACTGGCGTAGAGTAGGGTCCTTCGCCGGGTCGCTCTTCTGGAAAACGAAATCAGATTTTAAGCTCCTACAGGTTGTTCATGGTTCTCGGTGCCCGATCTCTGCACTTGATTTTACGCCCTCCGACGCCCTCTCATCTCACGATAGATCAAGGATGGTCACGTCGGGGCCTTGGGGGCAATGAGAAATATTCACCAGGTCAGCTGCTGTCTGGGACGATTTAGTGGCTGCGACGCGAGCCGATATGGTGGCCTCAGACGGCGTCTCAGCGGAGCCGAGGCCGGGGGGGCTGTCGTCAGCGAACGGGAGACTCGCTGGTTTTGAAGACATATATTCCTTGGCGGCTTTTCTTCTACAATATTCGGCGCCGCTGTTGTCCCGTGAGGTCGGTTCTCCTGGGATGGAATTCTGAATAAGTTTTGCGAAAGCGTGATCAAGGCTCATGAATTTCCCGTGGGAACTTCACGCTGTCAGAATGACCGCACCGATGACCGCCACCGGGTCTGATTGCGGAAAGCTCTCTTGGAGGTACTATGATCGGGGAATAATTTGAGACTTACGGTCGACAACGCCGTCGTGAACCCGACCGTTCGGCATGCCGGTCGTCGCGATTTCGCGGGGCCTCCTCTTCGGTTCCGAGTCTTCATTCGAGTCGGACTCATCACCGGAGCTCGAATGCTTTATTTTCACCTGTCGCTGATAGACCGGAGCGACGTAGGACGAGGGCTCGTCGGGACTCGGGGTTCGATCTCCGACAAAATCGATTTGTATTTCGGGCGTCGGGCCCTGGGGATATGAGAATTTGCGTTTCATTAACAAATCGAAGGACGGAACGCGTCTCCGATGAATAGCAGAACGTCGGCGTGGGAGCTAGGCGCATGAAGTTTCTACTCATGTTCAAACAATGAAACGCACATGACGAAGCGCAGGTTTGCACTGCGCTCCGCTTAGAGCTTCGCAACTTGTCCGGGAAAGGCGACGATTCAGTGGGCTGCGGGTGTTTGCAAACAGCAAGACAGACTCACTGTTGTTTTTTCATTTCAGCAAACAAAGAGCCCCTCTCTCCGGACCCTTCTGTCGTCACAGGTGACGACGAAGAGATCGTTCAATGGTGCAAGCTTCTGTAAGCGTCAGTACGAAATTTACTAACCGAGAATGACTGGAACCTCTTTTTGGCCGGGTATTGCGACGCTAGTTCCTCTTCCAAGAGAGCGTCTTCGTTCTCTTCTTCCACAACGCTGAAAGCCTGGTGCTGGATGATGGCTGTAATCGAACGAATGATAATGCTGGCATGGAAAGCTCTGCACATTCGGTCATCCATAATAATAGTCTAGCTCCACTCGGCAAAGCGGCTCGGTCGGGAACTTCTGAGACCTGCTGATGGGCTAAATTCAATGAGCTTTATTCGCCGGCGGGCGTCCTGCGAAATTCAGGGAGCAGGGAAACTTCGTTAAGTCGCCACCTCTATCGCGCCATTTAAAGGGACCTCAAAGTGCTATCTCTCGAGAAGATTACGGTAGTCCTTCACTTAAGCCCCAACTCGCTTATCCGAAATGAATTGCCTCGGAAGGCTTTTAGAACATCAAACCTTCGGAGCGGTCCCACGAACTTCACACAGGCACAATCTTGACTGAACTTCTCCGGAAAGCCGGATAGAACCGAGCAGACGTCTGAGCGACATCAGGGAGCGAAATCTGATTTGATCGTAGGAGGAACATGGAATGCCGCTCGCGGAGAAACACCCACCCGCCAACCCTCGAGCTGAAACGCGCACAGGAAATATGGATGTTTTTTCGGCACTCCGGACCAGGTGCTGCCGGAATTTCCGTGAGCCGTCAACCGGAGATGATTCACGCCGATGCATGGGATATCGAAATAGCACAAAAGCCTCTGGTCGGCCTCTCTCGGCGGTGGTCACTGTCGTTTCCTCAGCGTTTTGCCGGTAGATTAGAGGTGGCAAACACGGCGCTGAACGTAGAGTCGGAAGTTTGTTCCTCCGATCGAGACGACGATACGCGCCGCCTTCGAGACGGGGATCTCATGGGTTGGCGGGAATGGAGTTTTCTGCTGTGAGAGAAGCGCTGGACTCATGTTCCGATATAATGAGTCCCTGCCCACAGAGCTCGTATCCGTACCTCCTCTTTGGAAACTTTCTTGATTGGAAATATATTTTCGAGGGAGCCTTCTCGACGAGAAGTAAGACGAGAGATTATTCCTCTCTCGATGCTGTCTCCCTCATAACTAATTGCTTCAGAGCTCCAATGAGAGCTGGCAGTGCCGAAGAGCGCTCAGGGACGGCATGCGAGTATCGCGGAATAAATGCTCTCAGAGCGAGACCTCGACTTTCGGAAACTCTGAGGTCGATTATCACTCCTGACATTATTATTCAAATCATTCCGTGGATCGAACTCAGAGCTTCCCGCGACAGGTGATTGAGACAGTTACTTCAAGCCAGGTTGAGACATTGTTTCACACCCCTTCAAGGTCGAACCATCTCTGTCGGCCATCTCAAGAGTCCGATCCCAGCTAACGAGGCGCTGCCCCGTGCCGGACTTCGCAGGCTGTCCGTGGACGGTGATAAGGTGTGAGGGCAGCCAGTGATCGTCCAGCGTAGAGGGATACCGGAGGTCCCTGAATGGTCAGCATTCCCAGCGAGCTCGTTTACAGCAGCCCCCCCCCC